CTTCAGGCTGTGCTTCTGCCGGCAGAGCGCAGATGCAGCCTGTGAAGCTCCTGCAGCTTTCCGAGCCCCTTTGGGGTTGATGACAGCAGTCGGCCCGTTCTCGCAGACTACCACTTGCACTGTTGGCACTGCTTGCAGTGTGCAGCTGTCAGGCATTGACCTTCAAGCGGGAGATGCAGTGCTTTTTACAAGTGAGACGCGTTGCGACGCAGTTGCCAGCTTCACGCAGGAGGGGATCGGTTTCGAGCAGCCTCTTCACCTGCAAGGCGAGGGCAATGCGTTGCAAGCTTCGCTAGGAAGCCTCCTCCCAGACACGACACCCGGCACATATCAACTTTGCTGGTGCCCAGCGAAGCATGTTTGCACCACACCCTCTTCGTTTCGAGCAGCAGCTGGACAGCTGCAAGTTTACTGTCCAGAGGGGTACTTTTTCACGGATTCGCGGTGTGTGGCTTGTGGCCGTGGCTTTTACTGCCCGGGAGGGAGCCCAATTTCAGCTCTGCGCTTTCCATGCCCTGTGCATGAGACCACAGACCACGCACTCGCTCCAACCCGATTGCACTGTGAATGTGTTGCTGGGTACTTCTTGGATGCAGGAAGTTGCGCAGCATGCGGCCAGGGCTTCTTCAAAGCCGAGATGGGCAATGCGCTATCTTGTGATTCCTGTCCGCAGAATCTGACTACGCTTCTCACCGGATCCGTGTCTAGTGACTCCTGCATTGTTGTGGCCGAGGAAGGCTCTGGCGCAGTGAGTTTGGCCAGTTTCAGCAACTCCTCAAATGTATCCGCACTCACGTTCAACGTCTCGCTTGGCACAGATTGGGTAGACCCTGACTTGAGACCCCAGCTGCTGGCCACGCTGCGCCGCAGCATTGCTGACTCTACCAACATGCATATGGGTGCAATCGAGATCCTGCTGCCGTGGGCAGATGCAGGCCGTCGGCTCGCCGAGGCCACGTCAGTTGTCATCGTGCTAAAATTCATCTCTGCTGCTGAAGCAAGCCGCTCCGTCCAAGAAACAGATGTCAAGGTTCTTGTAAGTGACATGGGCGATGCTCTGAAGCAGAATACTGTCTTGTCCAGTTTGACAGTCGACACAGCGTCAGCACCCATGGTGTCATCGTTGACAGTCATGTGCCCACCTTTCTCTGCCAAGCCTCCAGGCGTACCTATCTTGAGTGCCAATGACTGTCTTTGCCTTCCAGGTTTCGGATTTGATGAGCAGCTCGGGACTTGCACAGTGTGCCCTCAAGGGGAGTTCAAATCCGCTCTAGCAGACACAGAATGCCAGAAGTGTCAGACTCCAAAGTCCACTCTCGAGCTGGGTGCCACCTCAGTGCAGCAGTGCAAATGTGGAGCCGGCTTGTATGAACACGAGGGAAGTTGCGCCAGTTGTGAGGTAGGCTTCTACTGCAATGGCACAGGCTACGCCTTCAAATGCCCTGGCAACTCCACCACAATCTCTCGCGGCTCACGCACCGCTGCTGAATGCTTATGCGCGGCTGGCTATCAGTTGCAAGGACTTTTGGAAGGGTCGGAGCAAGCAACGCTTTGCGATCCATGCCCTCGTGGAAGATTCAAGTCTAATTTGGGTAACGGAGTGTGCTTCCAAGCTTGTCCATCAAATGCGGATAGCGAACCTGCAGCCACCGATTTGGATGACTGCTTCTGCATGCCAGGATATGTTGCAGATGTGCACACAGGAAAGCTTGACCGATGCGCCAGTTGTGCCCTCTACAGGGGTCTGGTTTGTCCCGGCGGCTTCATACCCGGCACCAGTAATCATTCCCTGCCAAGGGCCCTTCCGGGATGGTACCAATCCGGTATAGCACAGGCTGTTGAATGCCACGTCCCTGTACCCAGTGGAGAGAGTTGTTGTCGTGGATTTGCTTTGCAATGCCAGTATGATCCAAGCCTCAAAGGCTGCGCTAAGCACTTTGGCAACCAGTGTGCAGAAGGGTCCTCTGGGATGCTTTGCGGAGAGTGTCCAGAGGGATGGGGCAGAAGCAGTCCCTTGAAATACTGTGAGCAATGCCCACAGGAACAAGGCCAGGTCACTGCTTCGCTAGTTGCATCAATCCTGGTGGACCTATCGCGGATCACCTTGGTAAACTTTGTCATTGCAGTACTTGCTGCCAAGGGGGCTGGGACCTCCCTCAAACTGCATACGTCAATGATCCGTATTGTTCAAGCTTGGGTAGCTGCTTGCTCCGCGCTTCTTAGCTTCAATCTTGACAGCCTGGAGCCATTCTCTTGGTCTGAGGAACTAGCTGAGGCAGAGGCGGAATGTGAGGGGGACTGCCAAGAGCTGCTGAGGTTTGCATGGCCCCAAGAAGTTTCTGATGTTACTCAATTCCTTTTTTCTTTGACCGCCATTGTCCCACGAACCAACGTCAACTTTGCAGCAGAGTGCCAGGCGGAGTTTCTAGCGCCAGGTAGCCCTGCAGCGAAGCGGATGTCTCCAGCCTTGTACTACTTGTTTTTGCCACTGCTGACTCTTGCTGGAACGCTTCTCCTATGTGCTGTCGTGGTGTACATCCTTGTGCCGCTGGGAAACATGCTCGGCCTGCATTTCAACGATGCGGATAGCACCAGGACAAAGCGGAAAGCGGCGCTCCGAAAGGTGAAGAGGTATCTGACGGAGGCAGCAGCGAGCTTCGGCTCGAGTACGGATGACAACAGCTCCCAGGACGGTGACGACTCCCAGGATTTTGCAGAGATGGCCGCAGACCGCGTCTTGGCAAAGCTCGCGCAGGGAACCTTGGAGCATGCGAGCTTCCACGCAGACGTCCCCGACGATGTCCTTGCCAAAGGCGTGCCAAGTGAGGAGCTGCGGACTGTGGCAGCCGAGGGTATGATCTCCGAGAAAGTTTTGCACCGCCTGGTTTTGGGCATTCTTGCCTGGAAGCTTCGATGCGATCTGGAGGCCGAGGCAGACCGCAGAGGTTTGCCGAAGGCCGACTTCGTGGCAGAGGTTGGCAGCACGGCAGCATCTGCCAGCGAGCTGGCGGCTTTCCGACACAACCATGCCGGCGAGGAGTTGCTCCAGCGTGCTGGCGATCGCCTTCGTTCTCAGGAAGACAGGCATCTGGAGGTCGAAGACGCCGAGACGTTGAACTTTGGTCTTTTCACTTCGTGGCCTGACGCCCGAGCTTTGCTGGACCAAAGTGTGCCGGTTATTTGCCTCACGCAGCTGGCCCTGTGGCCTGAGCTCATGTCCAAGTTCTTGCAGATGATTCGCTGTGTGCCAATTCGGGAAGATTTTGAGTCTGAGGGGTTGGTCACCGTGCAGCGCTTACGCTCACATCCGGACATCGAGTGCTGGCAGGATGAACACAGGCCTCTGAGCATCATTGCCCTCCTCGGACTTCTACTTTGGTGCTTTGGGATCCCTTGTGCCCTGTTCCTGAGAATCTGGAGCCTGCAAGACCGGCAAGAGCCTCGCAACACGCGCAGATTCGGATACTTTATTCAGGGTTTGGAGCCACGGTACTGGTATTGGGAGCTGGTGGTGAAACGAATTGACATTGGCCTTATGTTGGTGGTTGCATCTACATCCGTTGGGAATGACGACAAAGCCAAGTTGCTGCTCTTCGCACTCATCTCTGGCGTACAACTTGCTTTCACTTCCTGGCTGAGGCCATATGCAAACGCACAGGCTGAAATCCTCGATTTCTTGGAGTTCGTGCTTCTTTGCGCAAGGTTTGTTCTTTTCACGACTGTGGCTCTCCTACTGATCTTCTTCCCTTCTGCGGGAACAGTTGGGACTTGGTCAGTTGGCTTGCTGGCAATGCTGGTCTCCGCACTTGTTTACTCAGCCTTGCACATTCTGGCACAGGCCTTACGAAATGTGGCAGGCCCCATGAGCGAGCCACCCAAGATGAGCCAGGAGCCAAAGATAGTCCTCTCGCATGTCGCGAAAAGTGGATTTTTCAGATCCGATGGTTTATTGCAGAAGCTGAAGATGGGCATCGTAGAAAGCTTGCTGCCGTTCTTTCAGCCCGACTCCTACATTGCGTTTTCCTGGTCAATCTCCGCACCGAGCCCTACAGTTGTCTCGCGTGCGAGCCAGGTGCAGGTGTCCCGCTCCAGCTTGGAAAGCAGCTTTCTGCTGAAGCGAGTGGTGAAGGTCTCAGCACTTGCTTTGAGGTCGTCTGTGATCTACCAACGGGAGGCTGTGAGGAAGGCTCATGACGACTTCATCGAGCTTTGGCTATCCCATTTCCAGGGGGGCAACATACCAAATGTGAATCTCATGTGTGTGCTGGCAGTGGCCTGCCGTGCGCTGCCCAACAATGTTTCGAATTCGCAGCTTCACGCATGCTGGACCAAAGCGGTCCAGAGCCTGGGAAGTCAGGTGCGAGCTCGTTGGCAACTTCTGGCAGATGATTTTGCAAAGACGGTGCAGCTTTTTGCACTGCTACAGAAACCAGATGCAGAGGACCTGATGCGGTCAGCGGAGGGCCTCCTCAAAGTCAGCGAAAAGAGCAATGAGTCTTCAGATGAAATCCATTCGCACGAGTCACTGGCGCCAGAAGACGAGGTGCTCGATCTCGACTTGCTCCTCGACGAAGTGGACATTGTACCTCAGTCTGAATCTGCAGCCTCGCCGCCGCATGATGATCTCTGCAGCAACGGGACTGTTGAAATTTGAGAACTCATCTGCCAAGCACCTCAATCCCAATCGATGTGTTGTAGCCGGAAGCAACTGCAGTCCATCAACATTTTGTAGTGGAATCGTTCCGTGTTCCGCATCATGCGTGCAAATGGGCTTGGCAAAGGTGGCACCCTTGGCATGTAGAGCCCTTGGGAGAATCCCAGAGCGCATGCAAGGGTGTAAACAATCAATGGCACGAAAGCGGAAGCGGGGGAGTGATATCATCAACTCACATAAACACATACAGAGTCCGAGGATCATTTTTGAAATTCATTCCCCCGGTTGATCGTTATGTGCATGTGTAGACTAGATCGCATGTGGATGTGTAGACTGGATCGCATGCATGAAACACATGCATGAACACACAGATGAGAGCCGAACGTGTTGGCCCATTCTGATCTTGCGCAACCGTTTGATGGTCCTCTCGATGTTTCAGTTCACCACGAGTAGTTTGATTGGAGGATTTTCACTCCCAGAGGCCGCAGGCACAGGGTTTCCCTCCCGTGTATATCTCCAAAAGATGGAGATGCGCAGTCAACTGACTCAGATGAACAGGCTCAACGCCAGCGCCATCGATCTGTCTGCCTTGAAGAGGGAACATGTGCCCGCGAATATGCAGGGTGAAGGAAGCATCGGAGACGCTACACATGAACCCACCGCCGCAGGCCGTGTGGAAGATTGAGGTCGAAGACTTTCCAGCCTTCGTCGTCTGCAACCAAGTCTTCCAATGTCAAGGCGCTGCACATGGTCTGGCTTGCCTGCATCAGGTTGTGGACAACAAGGGCAACGACTTCTTCAAGCAATGGTCCAAGGAGGCGCTTCCTGCCGACAATCATCTATGTACGAATATACGCAAACATGAGTACATACATATGTATGTATGTCTGTCCTGTGCATGCTATATACATGGAAAGAAAGACCAGAGAAAAGGCCCGCAGCTGTTCCTGTCAGGCTGCGAAGGAGCCGGAGGCAGATTCTTTCTTCGACGAAACGAAAGTTCTCACCTCGACGACTTGAGAGCACGCGGTTTGGGGTTTCGGGCAGTTTAGGAAGTTTAGGGTTCGGATAGCACGAGTGTCCGTAGCTCTCGGATGCTCCGGTACTGGGCGTTTTGTAAGCGCGCCGGTGACGCTCGGCGTGATCCGTGCCAAGGAGTTCTTCTTCGGGATGGACAAAAACAAGCGCCCAGATTGCAAGCCAGATGTGCTGCGGTGTTTACCGGCGATGTGCGCTGTTTGTGCATGGGTTCAGGCTACATACTACAGCAAAGTGGGCTTGTCAATCAACCCGTTTTCCTTCGCTGAGGGATGGCAAGCTCGGGGTGCCAGACCTGATGCGCGGCTTCAGCATCGATGAGGGGAAGGTGTCGCCGTAGCAGAAAACAGCAACTTGGGAGTGGGACCCTTCGCAGGCGAAGCAGCTGGTTGAGCAGTTTGACGTGGACAAGGACGGTTGGATAGATGTCAAAGAGTTCGAGGCACCCGTGGATGAGCATTTTTTGGTCGAGAGCAGTTCGACATCCTTAGCATGTGAGTGAAGACGTGCTTGCTGTCCAGCTCATGCTGTTCAAGAGCGAGGAGTTGAAAAAGCAACTTGTCCGCATCAGTTGCCATTCGGGAGCTCCGGCTCCGCATGCCCCGCCTTTAATTTTAACTGTGCGCTGCAACCGAGGCAAATGCATGCTTAACTGAGCTGATAACTTGGGCGGTGAGGCTCCGGATCCAGCGTTGTCCCCACATTCAGATGGAGACTCCAATTATAGTCCAATGAGGAGAACTGGCCAGCAGCAACTTGATGCTAGCTGGACCCGTATGCTTCTACAGGCTGTTTGTGTCTGCAGAAGCAGAAGCTTCTTGCCTCCATCACGGCTGAGTTTCCATGGCGTGCGATGCAGAAGCAGGTAAGGAGTCGAGATGACGAAGTCATAATGCATTTGTGCTGCAACCTGCCGGTCCCCGTCTCCTGTACAGAGGGCTGCCGGCATGCTATTGCATCATTCGACTGTGATCTGTTGCAACTCGGCTTTGTGGATAGTGACAGTGAGTAGCTGAGCATTGACAAACGTTGCCAACTCAAGATACACATGCGGCTAGGGGTTCTGACCTTCGACGGCAAACCACTGCTTTTTTGGTACATCCACGTGGCGAGAGGATGCTGACAGCTCGGCAGTGAATCGTTTATCTCGCGTTCCAATTAAATCTGCTGGAGACCGGAGCCTTGCTGGTGAAGCGGCCGGGAGACTTGCAGAAACCATCTCAACCACCGCGCGCACGGTTTCCCCGTGTTGTCGAAGCTACCGCCAAGCTGCCGCCAATCGTTCGGGCAGGTCGTTGCCCGAGTGGATCTGAGCCTGCCTGGGCCCAAGAGGTGGGTTTTGGAATCTGCCATAGCGGTCTCGGAAGATGTGCCACAGCCTGCGAACGAATCCCAAGTCATCCCTGCTAAGTCCGACTTTCCAGCAGCGCATGGTGCAGCTTCTGGTGGCAATCGGGCCGCTGATGAGCTACACGGCCTCGTGCGCCCTGTGTGGTGGCATTGGCTGCGGAGGATTAGTACGAACCGATCTTGTTAAGAATTGCCAAGCATTTGTGGTTCTTGCTGCCGAGCCTTCCATGTCTCACCAACTGTGCGGCGTTTCAGGTACCTCTGGTGCTTTCACCGGGAAGACACCCAGATCTCCGAGATGCTGGCTCCGCTGGTGCTTCTGTCATGTGAACTGCTTACAGTAGACAACAGGCAAAAACCCTGCAACGGCCAGGCCTACATCTCGAACGGGTTGGCCTTGGGTTGTATGACAATCTTCGTCCACGTCGAGGAGCAGGCCCGGCCAAAAGTCTTGCAAATCAGAGTGGACCAGTGACCAGTGCGTCTCAATGCATTCTCAGACGCGCTGTGAGCAGCTTTCGGTTTCTACCGCAGAGGAAAACGGCGCGATGGTGCCCTTCTCCTTCAGGGGTGTGCTGTACCTCGACGTCTTCGGATGGCTTTCCCACAGGCAAGATTCCGAAGGACTGCCAACACGGGAGAAATTCCTGAGACCGCATGGCAGTATGTTCAGTCTGAGATTCCTGACAAGGATCCCCGAAGGAAGAGGCAGTCGCACTGCGCCAAGCCTTATCCTCAACGTCCCGCACATGTGGCCGTGATGTTCGCTCCTTTTTGAAACTGACATACCTCTGTGGCCCAGGAGATGTCGCCGTCTTCGAAGCTGCAGAGGCGAGCTCTTATTAAAGTGGAGACTGCTTTGCGTTGCCTCGCCACTCGTAGCGCATGGCGCCTGCAGGGACAGCTTGAAGCCGGCTGCTTCCGCAGTGCAGTACGTCTGGACTTCAGCATATGTGCTTTTCTGCGATGGTGTGATGCCTATTTTTGCAAGGATTGCTACGGGAACTCTCTGCCATGCAAAGCAGCAGACAGCGGGAAGCCGGGATCCCTCGAGGTGGCCAGCTTTGCTTAATGCGGATGCACTGCACCACAACCTCTTTGAGAAAACGGCTGAAAGTCATACCACCGCACAGCGAGTTCAAAGAACATGCAATTCGGAGTCACAGTGGCACTGGAGAGAAGGCTTAGGCATGCCAAGCGTCCTCAAGCTCACCAAACTGAGTTGTGTGTCCGGCCAGGATCTTCGGTACCTGCCTGGAGCACCACGTGCCTGGGACACCGTGAATGCCATCGAACCGCCAGCGAAGGATTACCAGTGCAACCCAACATAATCACATCTCTAAAGCCTACACCCAGAAACACTGAACCATAACGCCCCGAAGACCTAAATCCTGAACCGTTTGTCAGTTCTTCATTGGCATCATCGGCAGGCTCAAACGCCAAAACCGTACACAAGCAGCCGAGAAGTCATCCCGTCTCAGTCGCAAAATCAATGGCAAAAGCAGTGACAAGAAGGGTGCAGCAATCATTCGGCAACATGCCTTCAATCCTCGGTGCACATATTGCCATATAGCATGCACCAAGTTTTGCGCCTCAGCATGTAGTCTTCCGGCCTCGCCAACGCGATCTGTGCTTCGAGGCAATTGTTATGACTGCGTTGTATCAAATCTAGTATGAATGCGGGAGGGGTAGATTGTAAAGTTCGCCGTGGGGTTGTTCAAGATCAGGTTTCCATACAGGGGATGAGAAGGTCGTTGCCATATCCACAAATCCTAGGGCCCTGAAATGGTACGCTGTCTGGTATCGGGCGAGTGCAGTGAGTGGCATCCGCAGTGCAGGCCATGAACGTACCTTTTCTGCCGCTGTTGCTCTCCAAGAGTGCGCGCCGGCGCCTTTTGGCCACTTGCCTGCACTACGCGCACGGTTTCGCACGGGAGGTGCTGGGTAGCTCCTGCAAAGAGAGGGGTTGAGACCGGTTGGCGAAAGAAAGAAAGACCGGTTGGGAGACGGTTGTCAGGATGAGATGCAGCAGCATGTCCTGGAGCAGTGCACCAAGGAGAGACTCTCAATAGTGTTCAAGAGTACCAAATCTCTTTGCCATGAAGAGCACAGAAACTGCACGTGATGTTCTCATCGACCAGGATCCTGCTATGCCCGATGCACTGCAAAGCTTGATCACGTCCCTGGTACGAGTGGCATGGCTGCAAGTGGTCACCGTCGGCTTGAAGAGCCTGTGGGCATCAACCCCAGTATCAGTAGCCTCAGTAGCCCAGAAGCCCACATGATTTTACGAGCGTATCTGGGCTCGGCTCTCCAGGGCACCTCTGCCTACTTTTGGCCCAGGTTTTCTGGGCCGACATGGTCGTTGAACTTGAGCAGCTTGCCCGCGTTACATTTGGAGAAGCACCCTGTTGACTGTTGGTGAGTGATCCAGAGTCCAGAGCATGCTTCCCGCCAACGTGACATGTGTGCCGCCTGCGAGGCTGGACGCGTCGTCGGGTAGGCGGCAGGAGGACGATGAGGAGGAGTCGACAGGCAAGCCTTGACTTGGGTTGCGGAGATGCAGCACGGCATCGCGCATGTTCTTTCACTTTCTGTGCCGTGTGCACGAAGGGCCCAGCATTCAGCCCTCTTGTCGAGGCAGCCTCCCACAGGGGCCGCTTGGTGGGGCTCTTGGAGCTGGCCTGCGAAGGGACCTTCGACTGTCAATAACCCGAGGCCGAGCCCTGTCTCCGTGGCAACCTCTGGCATGATTGAGCCTTCGGGCCTTTGCGTTCGCCTGCCTTGTGTTTCGGCAGGCCTTGTCATGTTGCAGGTTGGTCGCTTCCTCCCTGGCTGGCAGCAACGACCCGAGCATGTCAAAGACTGTGCGTCACTGCAGTGCACAGTCTGCTTGTCCTGCAAGGCCAGCAGCGAGAGGAAGAACTTGCCGCCGCTCCTGACATAGCCACGAGCACAGGTTGCTGAGCAGCTGGGATGTGAGATGTGGCACCTGCCAGATCTTCTATCGATCTGAGGCCACTGGAATCTTGCAGGCACAGAGGGGTTGTGTGGACAGAAGCCGCGCGTTGAAGTTCAGTCGCAGAATTCGCCGAAGGTGCTGGTGGTCGAGGCTCGCGACCTGGTGCCAGTACACGGGATTGGGACGAACCCTTACGTGCCTGATACTCAGCGGAAAAGACACGCGGATTCGGGGATCTTCCCCGTGCTTCTCCTTCACAGACTCGTGGTGAAAAGGCGCGGACGACTTGGCCAGCAAGTCCGACGCAGCCGAACAGTCTGGACACTGACAGAATGGCGCCTAGCAATAAGACTCCGTGGAGTTTGGGCGGATTGGGAATGTGCAGGAGCAACCTGAGACCAGCTTGGAATTGTCTCATGGAGTTCCCCGTGGTGTCAACCAGAGGCCGGCCCCAAGTTTGTTTCACCCGTCAACTTTGGGAGCACAAGCTCCAGCTGCGAAGCGAAGGTAACTTGGAGCTGGAGGTGATGAGCCGGGCACCGCTCTTCGGCCACTTGGACTCACTTTTGGGACCTCCTGGCCTGAAATCTTCTTCTTCTTCTTCTTACTTTTCCCTGTTGTGGATAAGCAGTTTTCGAGCCGTCACGACGTCCTCGGAGGTGGCGACACGCGGCTAGGCTACGTCTCCTTGAGCCTCGATGACATCACCTCCCCAGCGCCCCGGCTTTTGTTTGTGCAGCTGTAGAGCTTGAATCTGTTACCCAGCTTTGAGGCGGCAGTTCTGACCGCTGGCCCGGGGGACTCGCAGCTTCTCGGCTTTTCCGGTTCACGCAAACGCGAATCCCAAATCATGCCCAAATGCATCCAAAGCATCCAGGCTGGCATACCGATGTGAGCCTCTTTTGGGTGCCCAGAAGGGGGAGCTGGCTGCGGCCTTGGAGGTCTTCATTCACCATGCCGTGAATATATGACAAAAGCGTCTGATATCGTCATAAATGCCTAAAGAATCATAGAGAGCATGAACTTGAAAAGCTATTCTTGCTGCACCACTCACTGTCACACAACAACACATATAGTCGGTGTCTGATGGGTACGCACTGAAAACCTTGAACTGCTTCAGAGATTCAGGTTCTCATCATGGATTACAAGAAGCTGCAGGCGGTGCGGCGTCGCCTCTCCTGCGCGAACCCCACTGGTTCACGGTTCACGTCACAGGATCATCTTCGCGGATTTGCTTCTTCATGCCAGGGAATCCTGCAAGAAAGCTTCTTGAGGTGGTGCTTTTGGGAATTCATTGCTGCGTCGAGCGGCGCAGCCTGGAGCCTATGTTATGGAGTCATGGTCATCAATACGAGTGAATCTCGTCAGAGAGAAATCCAAGAGGCCTGGTAGGTTTCCACCGAAAGGAAACGCACCTACTGACCTAGTATGGCAAGGTTCAGGGCTTTCTTCCTGTACCACTATTGGCCCTGCCTCGCGCCCGGGCCGGGAGTCGAGAGCTGCTCTTCGATTCAATGGCAAATGGATATCCAGGTGACAAGTCTATTTTCCAGATGTACATGCACGAGCCGATCGACATCTGCTTGTTGCCAGCTGGCCTGTTAAGACCCGTACCCTTGTGTGGAGGCTTTATGCAAAGCATGGCGTGGCCTCAGGCTGCTGTCTTTGAGTCCCTTTGTCTTTGTGCGTGTGCTGTTCTATACAGCCAGGCTCTGAGCCTGCCTGCGATTTCCAGCTACCAGCTACTTGGAGACTTTGAGACTTCCCCCAGGTGCTTCTTCTTTGTCTATGCGTCCCATGGCCTCCTGACGAGCATCAAATTGTTCAGTTCATCCTTGCGTGCAAGGGAACTGCCTCAGCCTCGATTGCTCGACGAAGCGGTTCATGCCTGGAGCGGATGAAAAACTTGAACACGAAAAGAAGTTACAAGCAATGTCATGATCAAGGCCATCATCTCGGATGGTGCAAAGCACTCAGCGGTCATCAGCGGTCTCAAGTTTCAAGAACTCACCATGGTTTGTTGCTGCCTCGGCTTTGAAGACGCTGAGGCTGGGCGTGTCTTCTACGGCATTTTCATGTACTACCTTTGCGTCACCTACTCAGCAGCAAGCGGTCAGAAGCGAGATAGACGATGGAGGTGTGAGGCCCTGCACGAATGTCGCTTGCAAGACCACATCCATCTCGAACCTTACTCTTGCTTGCCGAGAGTTAATGCCAGGACGCAACCAGGTTCCTCCCACGTTTCTAGTCTCATCTAAGTTCGCAGTTGGCCTCTGCAAAGATTCGGCAAAAGCTTGGAACAGTTTTCTCAATCCACATGTACGATCATATGCGCAACTCTATAATACAGTCTGGTTTCGAAGTGCCGAGCCGCAGTGATGCTGCGAAGCCGTTAAAAGAATTGGATTCTTTCTTTTGACTGTTATGCGCCATGTCATATGAAAGCCCCAGAGTCATGGTCCCTAATCCCTTTTCCAGCCCCCCTGCTTGCGAGAGCACTGAGGCCAGGGAGGGCACATGCTCTTCGGGCGGGGCTCCGGGAACGGGCGTGAGCTTCACGTACGTGGCACTAGATCTTTACCAGGAGGCATCGTGGGCCGGCACCCGGAAGTCTAAGCTGCAAATCGCAAGAGCTTGTCTTGCGCTGCTCGCCGTTGTTTCAGAGTTTTTGTTTCTTGCCTCAGCTTGCAGGTGCTGGTTTGGGCGGTGGGCGCCCTATCGTCGCAACGGAGTACTAGTGAGAGGCATGTTAGCTAGATTGGAGGTGGTGCTGTCTCAGGTCTGCTTCCTAATCCTGCCCCGGAGCTTGCCGTACTTGAACCGCGGAACCGGAGCATCAGGTCACAGGGCGGGGCTGCGTTGAACTCACCACGGATGGTCGACTTTGAAGTCGGAAGGTGGTGCCGGGGATGCACAGAGGAACGTGCAGACAGAGGACTAACCATCTGCTGGTTCCACTCAGTATGATTTGAGCGACCCCGAACGCGGCCCCCACTGAAAATGATGGTCATGGAGGACGTGCATCGAGGCGGTCGCATGCAGGCACTGCTCCAGCTGCGAGCTCATGGGTCCACTCTGCCCTGCATGCCGGATCTTTGCGCGTCCAGCATGCCTTGTGTTCGGAATCCACTTCCACTTCCTTCGTCTTGCTGAGGTACAACATGCTCGTTTTTGCAATAAGCTTCGCGATCTTCCTAACACTGTGCCGTGCTCGGGGGCCGCTCAAAAGGAATCCTTCCCTGCCACATCGGCCACAAAGGTCAGCTCGGGATCTGATGGCCTTCAGCTGGGACGGAAGAGGCGTGCATCTCGGATCAGGGAGACATTGCAGGAAGCAGGTGATAGCGAAGAAGCATCTAGGAATCTAGGCTCGCGGCTCGCACAGGCCGTGCTGGGAGTCCTTGAGTCTTCTGAGGCTTGCTAGCGGCAGAAGCTTGGAGGTGGCGAGTTGCAGAGAACTTCTTCTGGGCTCGGGCGATCTTTGGTGCGCCACCTACTCGTGGGGACGATCCAGAGAAGTTGCAGGAGCTCGCAGCTGAGGTCTATGCATGTGCCCCTTCCTCTTCTTGCTGCATCCGCAGATCAACAAGCTACTGACCCACAGCACCCCAACGGGTTACACCCGCCGCTTGTCTTCGACTCTTCGACCCTGCTCACTCTGCTCCACGGCTCTCCCAAGGCCCAAAGCCATGTGGGACTTAGAATAACTGGCCTAAGGACTCGGAACGCTGAAGAGGCACAGACCTATTTTGCGACCCAAAAGGCCAGTTGCTGTTAGTCGCCAGAGCTCGCAGAAATAGCTTGCACTTTGCATTATCTTGTACCTGGCAGCATAGCTTCTGGACTGAAGCTTCGGACAAAAGGAGCGGAGCTGGGGATTGCGAGGCCGGCAAAGAGCGACACGGAAATCCGGGAAGTCGTTCAGGCGCAGGCCGGGCTCGTTTTCTTTACAGGTACTTGTGCGCTTTCGGGCTCCAGTGCCAGAAGGAGGCGGTGGCGGATTCTCCAAGCGCTTCTCCGAAGTCTGGACCCAGTCGAATGAGTGCTCGCTTTGTGCTATTCGCTCAAAATCGGGATCTTCAGGTCAGAGCAGGAGGCCTCGCTGGCTGTCAAGGCGAGGAGTTTATGGCCTAGGGCAGCGCCCTTCAGACTTCTTAGCAATGCTCAGTGCCACAGCATACAGGCACCGGTCCAGGAGAAGCCAGAGGCCGGATCGGATTGGCCTTGGCCAAATGAAAAAGTGCCTCTGAAGTTCCACCATGTTCCACCTACACACGCCTCACAGCTTTGATGAATTGAAGGGCTTGCACCTCGTTATGCAGAAGCAGATCACAAGCAGCTAGGATTCACCTCTTTCCCTTTGCGAGATCGGAGCAGGTTGTGGCCTGCGGCGCCGACAGAGCCGACCCGATCGGGGACTGCATCCAGTCTTTTCACACTTTCACAAGCGTTTCAGGCTTTTCGTGGCATTTGCATGGTTTAGGACTGCTTGGACAGGACTTGCAGACGGTTGTTCGCCGCCTGCCTGGCGGATCGCTCGCCTTAAAGGGTGGCAGTGGGATACCAAGCGCAATCTGACTCCATTTCAGCAGGCCTTCATTGCATGAAGTGGCCAAGGCTTCTGCATCTGGGCGACGGGTAGAGCAGCCACGCCCTCGCAACGCTTTGTTCACAAGAAGCTCAAACCGAATCCCTACTGTGAGGCGAAAACGGCGGTGACCGTAGTCTCGCTGGAGATACGCGTCGCCAGTGCAGCCGTGTCGCTGGGCTTGCGGGCAGCTGATGCAGGCAAGGTCTCCCGCCAACATACTGGGGCGATTTGTTCTGCTTGGGCCCGGTGCGGATAGATGCTGAACTATTGCCTCAGCAGTTAGTTCTCCCCTAATTCTGTCGTCATGTCAACGTGTCCGTTAATCATGCTTCCAGTCGCATGCCTTGCTACAGTACAGCTTCAGATGGCATGTCTGCTGCTTGAGCTGTGCTGTGTCCGACTCAGCTTTTACCCCTAGGGCCGTAGGGATAGCCTTAACTAGGACTTCATATCTCTCTCTGTCTCTCTTTGTCGCTCTCTCGCTCTCTCGCTTTCGCTCGCTCACTTGCCAACATCTTGGACCGGAAAGCCATAGCTCTGGATACTGTCTTGTCCAGGTCCGCTTTTCAAGTCACTTACTCGTGGCTTGACTTCCACGTCCCAACAATCTGTGCCCATCACCGCCCTGTACTTTATCTGGCCCAGTTCATGCCGCCAACACTGAACCGATCTTGGCGCGCTTTTTGCACTCGCATGCTTCGATTTCAATCGTAGAACAGTGTCACTCTACTTCTGCTGCAGCTCGGCCATCACGAAACTGCATCTCTAATCATAGGGATTTGTTTCGAAACGGGAATGTTGTAAAGTGTGCGGCAATATGCAGCTGACCGGTGATGTGCTCGTTAGACTCCTTAGTGCTGACGCTTATTCACGCAATCTGACGCACTCACGATGGAGCGGCAGAGCTAATGCGGAGTCGTTGAGGTTCGAGCTACTGATCTGTTTTCCCTTGCAGGGCGAACGACAGTGCTAGCAGTGGCACGTCGGGTTGTCCCGGGAAGCGACACGGCTGTTGTGCGTTTCGCACGGGCTCGTGCTGAAGGGGCCGAGCAATTGGTGGTACGAGCCTCGGCACGGGCTGTCCTTGATTCAGGTGCCAGTCGAGGCGCATCACAGCCAAGGTCGCGTTGGTGAGGTGCTGCGATCGAGCTCTACAGGGACCAGTGGCCATGCTGAACTAGCCATGAAAGGAGGGAGAGAAAGAAAGAGGGGCTGACAGTGAGTCAGCGCTTTGAGTTTTTGAGTTTTTGAGGTCGCCGTGGCGACTCGAATCGCTGGTCACGTCCCTGGTGGCCGCACAGCTCTGTCCGTGCTTGGCACCTCGGCTGTGCTACGGCTCTCCTGCTCCATTTCATGCCCTGAGCCTTGTGAACGCTTGCGATGCCTGGCTGTCTGAGGCAGCATGTGTCGGCTGGGGGGAGGCTTGGTGCGAACCTGCTACCGCATGGCAGCTGTCGTGGAGTCGCCCGGCGAGGCCCAGCCGTTCTAGCCGCAAGCCTTCTGCCTGGCGATTCAGAAGTGAACAGCTTGGTCAGGTTGGGTCCAGCGGCGAGTGTGGCTGGGCAGCACTGTGCATGAACGACTCTGGATATTGCCGCATGTCTCAAAACTCACCACGCCTGATGCATGAAAGTCGTGGGCCAGGCGAGCAGCTCGCCGACTCTCCTCTCGGCATTCAGGCGGTGGAGCACTCTCTTCCTCCGCATTGTTCCAACACACTTTATATTATGTCACCGTGTCATCAGGCTGGCTTGCCGACGATACTTGGCAGCACCTGAGTTGCTGCTTCTCCACTGTCTCGCGAAGCCTGTGCCCGGTGGACGTGCCGTGCTGATGTGAGGATCGAGCTCCTGCAAGCAGCAGGTCTGACGTTTGCATTCTGGTTCGCGGTCGCTTCGTGATGCTAGCGCCAGTGGAGAGCACAGCACACCGCCGCCTTGAAAGACCGACTGTGCAGGTGGCAGTGAACTCGTCGAGCTCAGCGAGAAGGCTCGCTGGCATCGAATCGTGCTCACATGCGCACAAGCACGTGACATCACATGACTAATATCACTAAGATCACAACACTCCGAATAGCGGGATGATCCTTGTTATACGCACTCCTCACCAAGGTACTGCTAGATGTAATGTTTTTTGGAAGACTGGCAAACGTGTCATATTTGGTGGACAGCCGGCTGTGAGGCAGAGCTGGTGAAGCTCGAGGCAGCGGCGAGGCCTTTGGCTGCAATGGCTTCGAAGTTCACTCCTCGAGCTGTTCAACCCTAAACCCTAACAACACACCCTGGACAGCAGCCTTTCAAGAAATCCGAGCTGACAGTCTGGGGCAGCATCAGCCGCGTCAAGAAGCGAAAACATCTCCCTGACTTTTGCATCTTTGCTACTAGTGGTACGGTTGCGACTTGCCTACGATCATCGTAGGCTGTGACGATGGCTATGCCTGTGCTATGACTGTGACGGTTCTTTTGCAAGCAATGCTGCATAAACACGCATCTTGAATCCTCACCTTTCAGCATATGTAATCTCTTTTCCTGTGACTAATGCACGACGCGCATCGCATTACTGAGAAAGTGAGGACTACTATTTCCATCGCTTCAGCGACCACGGTCACCACCGCCGCCACCACCACCACCACCACCACCTCCACGACCACCGCGACCACCACCACAGCCACCACCACCACCACCACCACCGCCGCCGCCGCGACCGCGACCGCGACCGCGACCGCGACCACACCACGACGACGACTAGTACTGCTACTCCTACTCTTACTCCTGCTCCTCTTCTCCTGCTCCGGCTCCTACTCTTCCACCTGCTGCTGCTGCTGCTCCTGCTCCTCCACCTCCTTTTACTGCTACCGCTACTGCTACTCTGCTCCTGCTCCTGCTCCAGCTCCTGCCCTGCTACTCCTGCTGCTGCTACTGCTACTACTGCGACGACGGCCACTACTACTCCTGCTGCCACTGCCAATGCCAATCCACATGCCGATGCTGCCACTGCCCGTGCCACTGCGTCAACGACGACGATGACCACTACCAGACAAAACTATAATGTGACCACACAGTATACACGTGTTTGCACGCATTTTGCACATGTACTGTGAATGATTGTTGGCAAATGCACTCATTCCAGGCTTGCGGAGCTCCTAACACGTGCCGAGCGCCTTGCAGAGCGGGAGGTCGCCGAGGCCTGACTCGGATTTTTGGGCAACTGATGAAGAGTCTTTGCCAGAAGGACAATGTGCTTCGGAAAATTAATGACTGATTACTGAAGGAAAAAAGGCAAGCAGGGCGCTGGAAAACATGTCTTGGCTGTTGCAAGATATGCCATTAACTGAAGTGGCAGCTGTGCAGCATTTCTCCGTAGCCCTCCCGGCCTGATCTTTCGACTCATTACATGAGCTACGGATCATTTTGGATTCTAAGCCCACCACAGAAGACTGTGAGTCCCCCGGACGCTAAGGAATCGTACACAGGGAACTGAGCTACACGTAGTCTCAATTGCTGCCTTCCACGTCTCCGACGAGAACAAAGCGAGCTTAAATATACAACTGCGACTGTGCCATTAGCACTCTCACAAAAAGCAGGATGGAAGCTCCGAAGACTGCTCACCCGAGCCGACAGGCCAGAGAAGCCTTGCAGCGGGTGCAGCCGGAGATCAGCAAGATCTCGCAAGCCCTCCGAGACAGGAGTTCGCCAATAATGTAATCGCACTCATCACAGTGCTGAGGTCGTGGTAGCATAGCTTACAACCCCAGTCGCCTTTGCATGGCTTTGCATGGCTTTGCAGTGCTGCAGGAGCCAAGGTTGGGCCTGGGAGCTCCAGCGTGCAAGAGGCACATGTGCCGACAGCTGAGGTACATAGCACCCTTGCAACTTGTACTTTATAACGGGTTGGTGAGTCTCACTTTCATGTCGCCCCCAGGAAAGCATGTGCCGATCCACGGTCGCGTGGACTTCGGCCACTCGACCATGACATGTCGTCGGCGGATTGTCTGAGATCGATTCAGACCGCCTCAGCAAGGACCTGGCGGGTCGGCTTCCTGTCGCTGGTCAGGTGTGGTGGCTCCAGTCTGGATTTGTTTCATGTGGCCCTGGCTTGCGGACAGCGGTGAAAGTGTCAGGTGCTCTTGGGCGCTTTCCGGCGGGAGCTGCAGGAGCGGAGATGTGTGGAGACTGGACGTGAGAAGACAAATAAGGCTACTACCCTAAACCTCTATCCCTTACAGGCCCTTAGGCGCTTTCCTTTCCACCGGCGGGCAGGAGCTCCAGGAGCAAGGTCGTGCAGAAAGGACGCTCCTGCAGACCTTGGAGGTCGGAGAGTCTCGACTCGGAGCACAGAATGCTGAGTGGGGCACGCGCATCCCGCTGCAGGCATACTCCCGAGTGCTTTGCTCCTCTGCTTGTGAGGCCTTTCGAGGCTGTCAGATGTCTTAAGGTCTCCAAGCTTTGCCCGTGTATGGCAGGCGGTCCTGGAGCTTCGCCCCCAACATGCACTGGCCACCACCCCCACAAGTCCTGCGCTGGGACCTTAGGCTTTGAGCTTGAAGCAGAGTGCCACAGAAAAAAGCAGAAAAGTTCAGCATTGCGGTGTACAAGGTTTGGGAACGAACGTGGAGGGGGCGCCAGATCACGCGGTGGCAGCCCACTTCCCACTCCGAAGGCTGGGTCTTTGAAGACTGCCTTACTTGCCTTTACCCGTTGGTTTGGGAATCTGACGCTCGCGGCTCTGAGGCTCCGCTTGACGACGGCTGGGTCCTCGGATAAAGCCACGTCAAGTCGCTCCGCAAAGGGAAGTTGAAGTGTTCATTCGAAGGCGAAAAGAGGAGCTACAGCCTCCCCCGAAAGGCTCGCAGCGAGGAAGGTCCGGCCTTTTCCAGCCCCAGAAAAAGATTCAGACTGTGCGAGCATATGCAGGCATCGATATCAACATCATCGAAGTCTCACATGGCAACACCGCGCCAAAGCTGCCAGAGGCAGCCGTGTAGAAAGTAGTGGTCGTCCTGACCAGACGGAACCAGACTGCGAAATGTCGCTAACAGCATCTGGACGCAGCAAACCACAGCCGTGTTGGAGGTGCGCCGCTCCGGGGTGTCCGTGCTCGGTGCGATGCGGTGGCTTGACAGCCCTATGGTGATGCCGTAACTTTCAACTGTGGCCTTGCCCTTTTGCTGTACTGCAGCGAGCAGGCGGCTGGCATCACCGCGGCACCTTGGATGACATATCAGAAGACGAATGGAAGGGTTGCAAGTACTGTCGATTGTTGAAGACTGTGGCTTTCTTGGACAGTTTTTTTACTGTCTCAATACTTGGACTACGTAGATCTTCTGCTCATGAGATCTCATGAACGTCGGGAGATCCTCACCCGTTGGTCCAGCTTTCTCAATCTGGAAACCCTTCCAAGTACAGCACCTTCATCTCACAAGCCCAAGCCCGTCCAATTACCCGTGCAATTTGAGGGCTGCCCGCAGAGGCGCACAATGCCAGCTATTCACTGGGGCTTTGTAGGTGTCGAATCGGCCACATGTGCGTGCTGCGCACTCAAAGTAGTTTCGGCCTACGCTTTCGTGCATGTCACGGTGCCCCGGCGAGCCCAGTTCCAAGGGGTCGGCAGATGATCACGTTGAAAGTTGAAACTTTGGAACGAACGGTGCCTCGTGGCTCAACGACTCGCAGGATATTCAGTGTAACCGACAGGCTAAGCTGGCCCTAAACAGATCAAAGCGAGCTTCGACCAATCAATGCAACAAAACTCCTAATCCTAAATCATCTGAACTCGTCTTTATCCGTCCCGTACTGGGCTGACTGCAACACTGGAGACAGGACCCTCAAGCCAAGCTTTGGCGAGTGCAGTGACAGCGATGTGTGCACGAGAACGATCTAGCACCGGGAGTTCAGCACAGAAAGCCTTATTGCAAACCAAACAATGCCATGCCGACCGGTTTCCACCCCGATGCGGCACTAACGCTAGATGTTCAAAGCTTGCAGGACAGCATAGATGTTGCGAGAAATGCCAGTGGGTACCCTGGCATGTCTCATACTCAGGCCACGGGCCTCCCAGGATATATGGCGGGCAAGCAAGACAAGAAAAGACAGTTCATCTTGCGTGAATCCGAAAGCCCTATAAGCCTGGATCCTTATGATACCCTCTCGTCGAATCGTATTCCTTAAACCGTAAACCCCCAACCCCTAAACCCTAAACACCTAAACCCCTAAGCCCTAACCCTAAACCCCTTAAACCCCTAAACCCTAAACCGCTACGCAAGCCGAGGCAATGGGGCCGGGAAGCTTCCTCGAGAGCACCTTCAGAAGGACTCCGACTTCGATTCTGTGGTGTTTGTATTTTAGGGTAGAGGTTTTAGGGTTCAGGGTATAGGGCTACTTGGGCTTCGAGACTTTTGACATGTCCTTTAGGTAGTTTTCTAAGTTGAGAAGGTGCCTTATTTTAGGGAACTACCCGTCTAGGTTTTAGGGTTCAGGGTATTGGGTATAGGGCACCTTGGGCTTCGAGGTTTTCGGGATGTTTTGGGCACTCGTCCTCGTGTCCTTGCCCGAATCCCCGAAACTTCGAGTCTCCTTCGTCACACCCTAAACCCTAAAGCGTAAAAAAAAACATTTCAACACTGGGAGTTTGTTTTGTGCAGAGCTCGGACAGGAGCCAAATCCTCGACAGATGGACCTCTGAGGGCGGAGCTCTCTTGCGAGGCTGTCACTTTGTGCAGAATCGAGCTGCTGTTGTGCACTTTGTTGGGACGCCCTTTCAGTTGCGATGGATCTTGTTGCATTGCATTCGAGCGTTGTGCTTCCGGACCTTGCTCGGGCAAGGTGCCGTCGATCCCTATCCACAAGCTCGAACTCGATCGAGAACGTGAGAGGCCGGTGCTGGCAGCTTCCAACTATTTCCTTTCGGAACGCACATATATTTACATACATATTCGGTACATATATACCCACACACACATGTATTGTTACGAGGGTGCTTTATTGCCAGGCCAGCTTGCCCCCGTGGAATATGCAGACACCAGTAGCCAGATACCGTACACCTAAAGCCATCTGCAGATGTCATGGTCAGGCGCAGACCAGGCTATGTCCGATCCGAACCGTGCTCGCCACCGACAGTGCATTCAGGTCCGGGAGCTGTACATATCAAGTAAGCACGGCAAGGTCATGCCAGGCAGTGCAAATCTTAGGTCCAAAGTGCAAGACTGAACAACTAGTGTCATGCATTGCATGTAGGAATCTGCGTTGCAACATCTGCAGGACCTGCAGAAGCACAAGGCCCACAAGGGAACAGGTGCCTTGAACGTCTTGCAATCACGACACACGGCATCAGTATTGATGATGACTCTGACAAGACTCAGAAAATCATAATCAGTCGTCCACGTCGTCGTAGCAGTCGTTGTCTTCGTCGCATTGTCAAAGCAATCGGTTGTAGTCGTAGTAGGCAGAACAGAAGCACAGGCAGCATCACCACCACCGGCAGCAGTAGCAGTAGCAGCAGCGGCAGCGGCCGTGGCAGTGGCGCTAGCAGTAGCAGTAGAAGCACCGGCAGAGACAGCGGTAGCGGCAGCAGCAGCGGCAGTGGCGGCAACGCCAGCAGCAGCAGTCGCAGTGGCAGTAGGAGCAGGGGTAGGAGTGGCAGTAGTGGTAAGTAGCAGTAGCAGTAGCAGTAGCAGTAGCAGGAGCAGGAGCAGGAGCAGGAGCAGGAGCAGCAGCAGCAGCAGCAGCAGGAGCAGGAGCAGGAGCAGGAGCAGGAGCAGGAGCAGGAGCAGGAGCAGAGCAGGAGCAGCAGCAGCAGCAGCAGCAGCAGCAGCAGCAGCAGTAGCAGTAGCAGTAGCAGTAGCAGTAGCAGTAGCAGTAGCAGTAGCAGTAGCAGTAGCAGAGTAGTCGTAGTAGCAGCAGCAGCAGCAGCAGCAGGAGTAGTAGTAGTGGTAGTAGTGGCAGTGGCAGTAGCAGTAGCAGTAGCAGTAGTCGTAGTCGTAGTCGTAGTCGTAGTAGTAGTAGTAGTAGTAGTAGTAGTAGTAGTAGTAGGAGTAGGAGTAGGAGTAGTAGTAGTAGTAGTCGCTGTCGTCGCTGTCGTCGTAGTCGTAGTCGTAGTCGTAGTAGTAGCAGTAGTAGGAGTATTGGTTCAGGTCGAGCGGGGAGCTTGAACGTGCAAGCCTATTTCCCGGACTTTCCCCCCCCAAACATGATGATAGGATTGAAAGAAGCTCAGAGCTAGAAGCACTGAAACCCGAACTTACACCCCCGATCCAAAGGCGTCAGTCTAACAAGCTCCAAATCCCTAAATGCACTCAACTAACTCACCACCTTCACCCCGTTTAAGCCCGAGAAAACAGAGCCCATCGTGTGCTCAGGGCTTCACTTCGCCGTGACCAGCTCGGGAGACCACCGCGGCCTTCGGGTCGCTTGGGCTCTCTGTAGCTTCTGTTGCTTCGTGGGTAGTTGTCAAAATTATGGTCCCTTTTTGGGTACCTTACATATTAGGTGCTGTATCATGTTAGGGACCCAAACAGGGACCATAATCTTCACAACCACCTACGTATACGTATTTTTCCTTTCATTTAAAGTGTAATATTATCGTACTTCTTTTCGGTCGTGGCCATTGTTGAATAGTGGTGATCATGGAAATGATTGCGATGAAGAAGATGACAGCCACGATGATGATGATGATGATGGCGATGACGATGGACGTGATGATGGCGGTGAGGGTCTTGAGGGTGCATAATGCTTTTCTTGCTGTTGCTAGTCTTCGTTTTTTGATGGTAGTGGCGTCGGCAGCAGCAGCAGTAGTAGCAACAGTGTTCTTATTGTCGTTGTTCTTGCAAGCTATTACGATGGTTGCTGCTATGATTACCCTTATGATTCTGTTCATCTTCACCGTACCAGCAGCAGCAGCAGCAGTAACAGGAGCAGGAGCAGGATCATTGACTTAAAGTAAAAGCCAGAAAGTTGGAATATGATTATCCTAAACCCTTTATGGTAAATTATAAGGTATCCTACCATGAAACCATATTCCAACTTTCTGGAGTTCCCTTTAACTAGCTGCAGCTTTGACTGAATTTGTCGTGCCGGGGGATTGGAGATGTGGGCGGATATCATCTCGTCGCAGCCCCTGTCCATCCGGCCCCGTAGCTTGACTTCTTTTCCACTTCGGTAACCGGCAAGGCTGGGCTCACTCGTCCCAAACAGCAACTGGAAGTGGTTTCCACAGCAGTCGCAGTGAGGCACTCCGCGAGTTGATGCGGGGCCTGCAGCGGCAGCGGGGTGAATCTTTTTCAGGCATTTTCCACTCGAAGTGTTTTGCTAGGGCCTGCGCGCGAAAGCCTGCAATGCAGTCCACCTTGAACTAATCACAACGGTGTCATGGAAACTTTCACGGAATGCGTCGCTAGCACATCGTACGAAACTCTTTAAGGGTGACATCGAGACTGCATTCCACCCGAAAGATGCCTCAAAGAGGCCAGAGCTTCTGCACGGGATGCCTCATGCTGTATGTAAGTTTGTAACTCTCCGCACACGTTCAATCTGCAGAAGTCTAGAGATCTATTGACATATATTGACTACTGTAGTGCCTCGAGTTCTGCCGAGAACGACCGCAGCTTTATCTGAGAAGTCTTCTGCAGTTCTCGAACACCGGAGTTGTATATAGTGCTGCCGTCCCGTTGTGCTGAGATTTTCGGCACAAGGGCTGATGAAATAATGTACAAAGTCTGTGTCTGTGGCATTCAGTGCTGTTTCAGCGGTACTTCCGCGGGTGCGAAGCGAGAGCAGCTGCGGGCGGGTTTGCTGCCGGCACTGATTTGCAGAAGCCTGGGTTATGCGCCCTTCTTGACACTACTCCGAAACCCGCGGAAAAGGTCCAAAGTGAGGGTCCTGTCGAAGCTTCCTGGCACGTCACGTCGAAAAACTCGGGAGGACTTCTGGGATCCTGTGACCTTTATGCCTCCTGAGAGCCGGTCCCTTTTGGCGGAACTCTTCAGTTACGCCCGCGCATGTTCACGTTGCTGAGGCCGCGATCGCGGCAAGGTGGATGACCTTCTGAAGGAGGAGGCTAACGGAGTTTCTCGCTTGCTGAACCTAAAAAAAAATCGATGATACCGCCCCGACGCCGCCTGGGCCTGGCCAGGAGAAGGAGCCCGACTTCATGAACTTTGGTGCGATGACGCCATCCTTCAGCCTCGCGGCCCCTGAGGCTCGATGTAGGGGAGTTTCGCGCACCTGGCTTTACAGTGTCACTATGCGTCACTAATTATTTCTTGTCGTCAGCATCACCATCATCATCCTTACGACCACCAGTACTGCCAATACTGCGATACCTGACATTGAAATCTGAAACCGCTGTAATTCACTATTGAGCGGTGGCTTCATGGCATGGGTCCTCCGAATGCTGTTGCGACTCTCGAAACCTATCTTGCAGCCTCCGCTGAAAAGGCCAAGGATGAGGACATTGAGACGGGCCATGAACGTGAAGCTCCCGGCGCCGCTCCGTGGAGGAGTAGCACCGAAGTTCGGGCAGCCCCTTCTGGGGGTAAAACTGAAAGCCTTCCCTGTCGTATCGAAGGATTTTCCGCAACATGACCCTGGTGACATGCATCTTCTGGATTTGTGCCGGGGTGCGGGGCATGGCCTCTGATGCTTTGCGTCCACGCTTGATCTGATGTGGCCGCAGGCATGGGAGTTCAGCACTGTGCTGGTACCAGAGCTCATCGACATGGGCTTGGCCTTCGAGGCGCGGGCTTGCGAAATTATGCGAACTTCGTCTTGCCACTCGGTGTGGCTTCCACTGGTGCATTGGTTTCAGGACGAGTTCGAAGCACAGAACAAGCACTCGACGCAGCTCCACAGCAGCAACGAGCCGCAAGCATCAAGGCCATGCACAGCGTCTGCCCATCGCTGTCAGATCCATCCGAGGTTGAATCTGGAGCATGTCCGCCTCCAGCCCGTTGATGCAGTAGGCATCCGACAAGATCATGAACCAAAGTTGGCCGAGTCTCTTGTTCTGATGTGTTGTCCGGCGTCTTTTCCCATGTGCCGGAGACGGCATGGAGAACATCTGCGTGGTGTCTCACTGTAAAGCCTGCCGTGACTCTGATGCTCGCTGGTCAGCTCTCGCCGGGGAGCACCGAGCTTCTCTGATGGCGCTTCGCTGGACACTTAAACAAAAACAACGTCCTGTTTCGAGACCCTACAAAGCTTACCGCCGAGCAACGCAGACTTTTTTAGGCAATGCTGTCAAGAACGCCCACTACGAATCGGTGAACACCACATGGCCGTATCCTGGCATCAGGCGGGACCCCACATCGGGAAAGCTCGACAATAGAATGTCTTTAATAAATTAATGCATGGTAGATTTTGCAGATCTGCTTTCAGGCCCACAGGTCTGTCTTGTGATTCGCATGGGCGACACCTACTTGCCCTGAGCTCATCCCGCAGAGTCCCAGGATTCACCAAAATGCACTCAACTGGAGAGACCTTGCCAGGTCACGGACGGCTTATCTGCTTTCGTGGCCCTGGTCGAAGAGGATAAGGTCGGATTGGCTGTTTCCTTGAACTTGTGGGAAAGACGACGGAACGGTCGGAGGCAGCAACTGCTCAGGATGGCATGAGGCATCGAAATGCTCCCGATGTAGAGTGCTACCATCGCGCAGACGGCATTTTGCGTTCAAGGCTGCGGCAGCCCACGCCTATGGCCCGTGCGGAGTTCAAGCAGGCTCGTTACGACCTGTGCATCGCGGCAACACTGCCGTGAAATTGGTACCTGGCTGTCCCAGCTGGAGGTCGACTCTTGCGCAGCCCTCCTGGGTCAGCAGCTGCAGGATATGGCAGACACTTCGTTTGACCGAGAACTCACTCACGCGTGCACTAAGCGTGCATATCGAAGGAAAGTTCTCTTCGGCGCAATTCTTGGTCTTGTGCAAGTGTGTGGTCGTGGGCGAGTTTGTCGGATCATCCCAAATTCCGTCATTCCGTAGCAACCCCCTGGTGCTCGCTGCGATTCTGCATGACTTCGGTAAGCGCCTGCAGGACACAGCCTTGTCCTGCGCCGACAACTCCACCGCAAGCTGCGAGGCTTCTTGATAGGTCCTAGGTCTGATGCACTTACGCAAGCTCTTGGGGCAGCACGTCGGCGAGCGCATGTGCATCCGGCGAGCTCTCTTTGACTTGCTCTTGCAGGGCCTATCCCCGCTCGCAGGCCATGGTGTTGCATCAACAGGGCCAGCGCGTCGCGTCTTGCCACCTTTCGGGACATGGAGGCCTCGTGGCAGCAAGTGGCACAAGTGAGTTTTTGTGGTTACCATTCGGTTACTTCTTTGGACAGTGTCACCATCATGGCGTCGAAAGGACGAAGAGGAGGGCAGGAGCAGGAGTAGGAGCAGGGGGAGTAGCTATTTCTACTCATACCAGAAATATTATTAGTACTCGTACGAGGCTCCGGCCCCAATGTTTGCCCACAACCTTGTCTCCAATCCAAAAAGGATGGAGAGCTTTCATGGCACGACCATGATGAGGTCCAATCCGTCTTGAGTGGACAGCATCCATGCCACAACCACGATGACGTTCATGTTCTGTAGGTTCAACAGACATCTATGGCCGAACGATGATGATGGCCAAACCATGATGATGTCGACCGCCACCGCGACTGCCACGACCCTTACCTTACCACTGAGGCTTGTCCTCCCGGTTACCCCTACTTTTCCCAGTGCCACTACTACCACCGCCACCAACGCTGCCAGAACTGCCAGCTACTGCTACTCGTCATCTACATACACTGCTGACATGTGCGGACTGACGATGCAATCTACGTCAGTTTTATCGCTGCGGCCACTCCTACTGCCATTCCTACATCACGAGGAATAAAGTTTCGTCGCGGTTGCCCATACCATCATGCGGAGGACACAGAGTACCAGCAAGTGCATTTTACGGGGCCTGGCTAGCGGAGGAATGAATCCACGGGAATAAAATTATGCTACTAGAATGTTCCGGGCGGAGGACTGGGTGGAGGAGTCTAATGGGGAAAAGGGTTTGCTAGATTTTGCTGGGTGTTGAAGAGTAGCATGCAGGGGTACGGCGAACTTTCTTCCTGCTGCTGCATGAGCTTTGGAATCGATAGTCCAGCAGATTGCAGTTCGTGAGACGATGTGTACCTTGATTTGTCAACAAGTCACACTGCGAGAAGGGACGGCGTGGCTCTTGGCTAAGCCCCCGAACCGTTTCACCCTCACAAATGTAGGCTTCGAAGCGGATATGTATTGCTCTCCGTTGTCGGAGTCGCCGGACAGCGCTGTGACCAAGTTGACATCAAGCTTGCACAGTTGGCCCAGTGGAGGCGGCCTTAGTCTTTCGGTCGCCTCTTCTTGGCTCTCCGGAACGCCGTGGCCTAAAGCATGTCCGCCTCTTGCTTCGCCACCGACTGGGATTGCATTGAGCTGAAGACTTGTCGGACACTGAGGCGTTCAGACCGCCAGTCCGAGCAGGCCGTCCGAGTGTCCCCACATGTCCCCACTTCCCTGAGCTCATTCGATTTGACATTGCAAGGCCCAGTTCCTCATGGTGGACCCAATATGCCAAGATGCCAAGCGACACCTGCATGATGTCATGAAAGCTTTGGCGGCTCTGCGCACATGTCGAGGCAATGCGGACTCGCTGGGTGCTGGCTGCACATCAGCCTAGCCGACATGTGCTTTGCAAGGCAAGACGAGCCGCCCCCGAAGATTGCCGCCACTACTCCTATCCAGGAGGCACCAGATTCATTTTGCCAGGTCGGGACTTCAAGATGGCGACTGGCACGCCTTCAGCGAGGAACGCAAGGCTCGGCAGCAGGTTACTGTACCGTCCTGAGCGAGATTGAACGGATTGTGCCTTTGCCGAGGTGATGACTTGATTCCTCTGGATGTCACTGACGATAAGGACCCCCAAGCCAAACGCAGGCCCTCAAGTTGCTACTCTGCCGCTGGCTTGCTTGCAGGATGCAGAGCTCGGCCGTCCCAAGACCATGCGCTTGATGACAGAACGGTATCCTTGACATCATTGACGGGTATAAGCTCGGTCTTAGCCGGTTTTGCCGTGGATGCTAGGTACCTGGGAGTTCTTCGAGCTGGCGACAAGACATTAGAGCTTTTGGACCTAGACAATGGCGACTCCCCTACTTACAGCTGCATTATGCTGTGGAGTTCGCTTGGGCTTGATCACTATCCCACTGAAGGCGGAGCGACATCTGCGAAGCTGCAGCTTCAGACGAACATGCGTGGCTGCCCAGTGCCGCAGTGCTGTCACCGGATGTGGCATTGCTTGCCCTTCTTCTCATGGGACTCTAGGAGAAGGGTTCATTTCATGCCGGAGGCACTTGGAAAGCTTCTGCACCACCGGAGATCACATGTACCTGCTGGGATCCCGCCCGCACCCAAAGCTGTGCTGGCCTTAAGACTGCGAAGCTCTGCCGGGCTCGGGGAGGGGGGCGATGCCTCTCGCGAGGTTGCGAGTTCCGCTCCGCACGGCCTTGGCGTTCGCTGCGTGAGTGCCTTCACCCTGGACCCTGACCCTACTTGTAACTTACTTAAACTTGTAGCCGCTGAAACCAGAGCTAAGATCAGATAGTCTCCGGTCATACTCCAGATCTCCAGGTCGTAACGATGTGACAAGCAAGACGATTTGACTGCGCATTGTTACAACGCAGATTTGGTGGAGAAAAGAAGGCAGCATCGAAGTTGCGAGTGCTGAAGCAAAAGAAAGGCTTGAGATGGCTTGAGTGCTCTATCGGTTTCTTTCGTCGCCGACTCTGTCTCAAGCTTGGCATCCTTGATTCTCTTATCTTCCCCGATCTTGAACTGTCAGGCTTCTTTTCGAGGGAGCCATGTTTGCTAGCAGGATCCTGCTCTGCGCGCTTGCAGCAGGAGCAGTTTCTGCAGCCGTGCCTGTTGAGACAACCGATGCTGCTTGCCCCGCTAGCGGCGCAGTCATGCTGCAACGCAAGAAGGACAAGGAGGTTGTTCGCCTGGAAAAGGTGAAGAGCAAAAAGCAGCGAAATGTTCGCATTTCGCGTCGGTCCGCGGCCCCGACATCAGCGACTGCTTGGGTGGCGTCGTCTTTCTCCGACTGTGTCCAATGCCCATCCGGGTCCATGCAGATTCGCAGTGTGGAGTGCCTTCGCATCTTCGATGGTGCGGCTGAAGCAGAGAAGCAGTGTGCCGGCTATCCCAAACCTCCTACGACGAAAGCCTGTGATTGTGCTGAATTGCCGTGCAACAGCAATCTGACGCACACATGCTTGGAACCTGCCGGTTGCCCTGTGGATTCAGACTTGGACACGGATTTCTTGGAGATCGGATGCTTCAATCGTGCTCCAGGGCATGAGGCTCCTGGAGCCAGCTTCGGGAACTCCTATGATTACACATGCATGAGCTACTCCGGTGACGTTCCTTGTAAGAGTGGCGTGCCATTCTACTCTATGAGATCAAACAGCATGACGCCTAGCTTATGCTATGAGTTCTGCACCGGCAAAGGCTTGGACATTTTTGCCTTGGTAGCTGGAGTAGAGTGTCGATGCGGTGCCTCGCAAGTAAACCAAAATGCGCGGTCTCACCTCATCGATTCCCGCCACTTGGATTTCAACCCGTTGGTGCTCAGCCCGCATACTGACGACATGGATCTTTGTCCACTTCGTGTGTTTCGCTATGCAGGGCATTACGAAGAGGGAGGAGTGCCGTACGGTCTGACGCAGCTTCTGGAGAGCGATTCAGAGTATCTGCGCAGCATCTTCGCCGGGCACCTGGTCGAACATCTCGAGGATGCCCCAGATGGTCAGAAGGACCCAGCAACAACTCCAGAACCGGGACTCGCCCAGACTGGTGGAAAGCAGACGCCAGAGGGCTACAATCGTGATTGCTGGCCTGACAATTGTGGTCCGGGCCGTGGGCCGTGGCAGGACCGCGTCACTTCGCCCCCTCCCGGTATTCATGAAAGGTATTACGAGTACGTTGTGATTCCATACCACTTCGAAGACGGGCTAGATGATGTCAGAAAAGAGGCTTTTCGGGTGGCTGTCAGGCGTTGGCACAGACAGTCATGCATCGTATTGGTGGAAAAGCATGCTGCGGACATCACCCGTCCATACATTAAGGTGGGCGAATATGACTCCGGTTCCTGCTATTTGTCAGGAATGGGCTGGCCGGGCTTTTGGGCAGGTTCGCCACACTACAGCAGGATTAACCTCGGCTGGTGCAATGACATGAGTGCCGTCGGGAGCATGGTTCATGAAATCGCCCATGCGATCGGAATGAATCATGAGCAAAAGCGCGCAGATGCAGCCCAAGAGTACAATGGACACGGGCCGCACTTGATCATGCACTGGCAAAACATTGACGCAGGTTGGCTTTCCCAGTACACGCCAGACTTCAAGTCCTACATCGGCTCCACCAACCAAGGCCTGGGTTATGTCGGGAAGTCACCGAGCATGTCATGATGCAATTTCCTTAGCCAAAAGGATACAAAGATTGCCCCAACAGTGGACGAGTGTTGTCGCTCAGCATAAGTTGTCCTTGAGTTGAAGGTAGCACTTTTTGCGCCTGCAGGTGCTGACGACCCCTTCTCAGGCTATGCCCCCTACGACTACCAGAGCATCATGCATTATCCTTCAGGGGATGCATACGATACAGACCCTCCGGAGAACGAAAACCTCATGGGCAATCGCAAACATCTCACTGCCGGTGACATCGAGCAAATTCTGGATGTGTACCAGTGTGTTGAGCTGCCCACCTGGTCTGACCCCACCGACTGCTCCTTCGAGGACCACTGCTACTGGACAAACCAAGGGGAACTCTCTTGGGCCGTCCATTCGGGGGCTACTCCGAGCTCGAACACGGGCCCAGACAATGCCGCAGAGGGTGCGCACTACCTGTATGTTGAGGCAAGCGGAAGTGGCAATCCTTCAAAAACAGCCATCTACGAGAGCCCGGCACTTGATGCCACTGCCAGCTACACTTTGAGCTTCGAGTACCACATGCTCGGCAGTAGAATGGGCTCCTTGGATGTTGAAGTTGCAGATACCCGCGGAACCTTCTCGTCTGTTTGGAGCCAGGCCGACACTCAAGGCAACGCTTGGCACAAGGCATCGCTGGACATCACTGCGGCTGTGGCTGTTAGATTTGTTGCGGTCACGGGTGGAGGTTGGAGTAGCGACATCGCGATCGACGATATCCAGATGACCTTAAGCAGTCCACCACCGGCAACAACTGCCGCAACCACACCCGCCGCAACGACAACCACCCCAACGACGACCACCACAACGACAACCACCACAACAACCACCACAACGACAACTACCACAACCACAACTACCACAACGACAACTACCACAACTACAACTACCACAACGACTACTACCACAACGACAACTACCACAACGACAACCACAACGACGACGACAACCACAACAGCGACAAGCACCAGCACCTCGACCACCACTTCCACTAGCACAACTCTCGGTTGTCACGATGCCTGGCTGCCAGACTGGGCCAGCAGTTCTACCGATGCTTGTGCAACGTGGGCACAGGACTCTACATGGGGTGCATTGGCAAACGACAAAAGTCTGGCCATGTCTTGCCAAGAACAATTCGCGTTGACATCCTGTGCGATGACTTGCGGATGCGGGGCACCCTTCACGGCGCCGTCAGGATGCGACTTCGAGGGCGGCCTCTGTGGCTGGTCTCGGACGGGGTCCTGGATTCAGCAAGACCAGGGAACACCGAGCAATGGCACTGGTCCAAGCCACGCGCAGAACGGAAGCTACTACCTCTATGTGGAAGCCAGCGAACCTGCCTTGCCTGGAGATGTCTTGACTTTGCAGAGTCCATCCTTTGATGGTGCGAGCGTGAGTTTTGAACTCAGCTTCTGGTTTCACATGTTCGGCCAGGGCATGGGCAGCCTGCATCTGAAAGGAAAGGATACCACAAATCACTGGATAGAGCTCTGGAGCTCACACGGCGATCTCGGCGAAAGTTGGTGGAAAGCCGACATTCCCGTTCCACCGGGCTTCTCTTCCCTTCGATTTGATGCAATGGTAGGCCCTGATTGGAGAAGTGACATTGCCATCGATTCCGTACATGTCAAGACCACCACCACGACTACGACCACGACGACCACGACAACTACAACGACGACCACGCCAGCGGTGGGAACGGGGATTGATGCAGTGAGCTGTGACTTCGAAGTTGATTTCTGCAGCTGGTTCAATCCAGAGGCCAAGAAGCGCCTCGGCAAGGAGTTAGCACTGATCCCCGGGACGGGGCAGATGTATTTCACCATGCTTCCCACATTGTTGATTATGGGGGGGCACTGACGCGGGGGGGTGGGGTTACTCCCCCATCCTCTACCCTGCCGAAAGAAAGAGAGAGAGTGGGGCGGAAATGCTGATGTCAAAGCATGTGTCCTTGAGAGTGTACGATCATCTTTCATATCGCTATCGTATACTTTATGACCTCAGCTTACGGATGATCTACACTCGTTACTCACTCCTCTTGCCCCGATAAAACATCGGGTGGGCATGATGCTCGGGGGCTTTGACGGGCCCCCGAGAGAGAGGGAGAGTTATTATAAGTTAGAAACAAACGGGGGGAAACCGTCACAAGTTTTCACACCCCTCCAAAAGCCCCACAAACATCGGGGGGGCCTTTAAGGCCGAGGGGTTTCGCACTCCCCTCATGCCCCGGGGAAGAAGAGGGAGAGAGAGAGCCATTTTGGCTCAAGTACTGCACCTTTGCTTGGGGGTGTGTCCCACCTCCTTGCATCGGGGGGCAGCTGGCGGGGTTGGCTCGGACTGTTCCTCCGAGAGAGCCCTGCCGTTGTCCCAGCGGTGCTTGAGACCAATCATCCGCCGCCATTGTCCTTAAGTGGCCCCTGTAGCCTTCGTGAAGGAGTGCGCAATAAAACTGACCGGCACGATCGAACACTATTTGCAGTCCGGCGACCGGGGGACAGCAAGACCTTCCTCCTCAACTTGTGAACCAAGGGGGACCCGAACCTCTTCTCCAACCGCGCTCTGACACTCCTGGTGGAGCTTCGCCTACCGAACCACCTCGCTGGGAGGGGGAGTACCACGCCTGGAAGTCCGTGACTAGCGGGGAGACCGAGAACAATAACCACCGTGGCCACCGTGGTGGAGTGGTACAGATGGACCCAAGTGGGGCGAGGAAGCCAAAAGGGAAGAAGGAAGGCCGCATATGCCGGCAAGGCGCATGCATTTGTCAGCAAGGATTTCGCAAGGTGCACGAGAGGTCGGATCCGGCATGCCGCTTCCATGGGTGCAGCGAGAAAGGGACGGGGAGCAGACCGGTAACCCAAGGCAGTCACCCGCCACCGCGGGAAGCGGGGGACACGAGAACCCCACAAGTTCCTTTTACGCACATGACCAGGTTCACGACAAGGAGGGGACTAGGCCTGCACTTCCTGCCTGGACCACTTGACAAGTGGGGGAAGAGAGAAATCTACAAAGAGAACGACAAGTGGATGGACCTCGTGACAGGCAAGCCTTTGAGCAACCTCGAGGCGGGGGAGCATGCCAAATACCGTGAACGCTTTGAAGAAAGGTGCAAAATAGGAAGAGCGGCGGACAAACTAACCAGGATCGTGGACAAATATATGCCCAAGCTCGCCAACGAGACGCGAGCACATGTCATCCGCTTCCCTCAAAAAGCCGGCCCACTACTCAAAAAGGCACGCCAAATCCGAAAGAAGCTTCGGAAGAGGCGCAAAGCAACGGGGGCGACTACCTCGAGGCCACCGATGCAAGCAAGCCGCGGGGAGGAAGCCGCAGTCGCCTTGAGAGAAAGGTGTGACGAAGAAGAAGTTGACTGGGGGAGCACGGACTCAGCGACTACCGGCACAGAGCCACACAGCCAAGGCGTGGGAGAAGGAGACCGAGACGAAGACGGGACCGCCGAAGACAAAGGAAGCCTTGAGACAGTACCAGCCAAAGACCGACGAGAGCAAGGAGAGAGGACGCTGGAACAGCAACCGCCGAAGACGACGTACACGGAGGGGGACGTAGCTTGGGAAAAGAGAGACCGCGCACTCCAAGCAGAAGCCCGCGGAGAAAAGAGCTGGGGAAGGAGCGACCACGCAGTCCGAGTCGCAGCCCGAGGGGGAGGAACCGACCGCGCAGCCCGAGCCACAGTCCACAACGGGTACGACTTCAGCCGAACCTGTGGTGGCAAGCGCAGCATGTGCAAGAACACATGCGAAACAAACGTGAGAGCCGTGAGCGCGACTTGTAAAAAGTACAGTGTGCGGGGGACGGGAACTAGGGGGGGCATCCTTTCTTCTTGTTGTTGCTGCCATGTGCCTTCCCTAGTTCCCGAAGTTCTCCTTTGTACCCTTGCCGGGGGGATGCATACCTTCTTGAGGGTAGCTCGAAGTAGCCACCGAATGTTTTCCCGTTTTCTGCAACAGCTCGAAGTAGCGACCGAAAGCCAAATTCAATTGCACCAGTCGCCATCCTGCGACTTATGTTACCAACCGCCACAATAATTCAACGCTTTCGCCGACTGTGCCCATACTAGAAGGAATAATTCAACCGGCCTTTTCGTAAGAGCGCGTGGGGGGGACCAGCTACTGCTGCTTTTGGACAATACTTGTACATTTCAGCTGGCGAACCCTCACCGAGTAGCCATGGCAACCCTACAAACTCACTTTGTCCTGCTGTTTCGGCATAGTCATGTTACGCCCTGTCCTCAGTTGTTGTTTGTACTGCAGAGAGGGGAACCTGCCACCAACCGTTGGGCATTGCATGGGGGAGGCGTCTGGCAAAGGTACTAAGGATTTTGCCATAGTGGGCGCGGGGATGAGGCCGGGACGCGGGCTAAAGTTCAGGGTCGGGGGGATTTTCGCCAGACGCACTCTACCGCGCATGCCAACCGAGGGGAACAGCCCCGCGCATTCGACCCCAATGGCACTCTCCCACCAACGTGTAAAGGAGAGGGGGGCCAAGCGAAGCGAAGCGGAGAGTTACCCCAGTACGCAAACTCCTCAAGAATGCCCTCAAGCAGACGCGAGGGGGACAAGAGGAGCAGCCACAAGGAAGTGCTCAGCAAGTGTTCGAAGCGGGGGAGATGCCAATTGGCAGCGGCAACCTTGGGGAACCCAGCGACACTGGGAACAAGAACTACAACAAGGACCAGTCCGACGTGCAAGCGGGGACGACCGCCGACTATGACACCGTGACGGTAGAGGTGGCAGTCAAACGCAAGAGGAGTCGCCAGACTGGACGGATCCTACAATGGATGTACCCTGGGGAACACGGCCCGAAATCCTGGGAGAAGGCGACAGTGTACCGTGGAGCCAACCAGAACATGATGCACCATGGACAACACCGCCTGACCTGATGCTTGAAGACGAGGCGGAACGCCCACTGGAGGGGGAACAACTCCGGATAGCAGACATAACCAGAGTCTACGACCCCGCAGACGAAGCATTGGCAGCGGTTTTCCACAACATCGACATGGACGAGCGCGAGATGGAATGGACTGCAGCCGCACGACCAGCCGGACGCAGCTCTTGTGACGCTTCGATTGTGGGGGACTCCTCGGCCAAACATGCTACTGAAGTTGGCCGTCCAGAAGACACAAAAGCAGAGCAAGCGGGGGACCTCCCACAGAAGGACGACGACCTGGTGGAGAGTGTGCTGAGAGGTCTTCGTAAAGAAGAAGTTGAGGAGGAGGTGCAGATGGAACCGCTGATCTTGGGGGATGTGGCTGCCGCGAAAGCCGGCATCCGCAAGGCGGGGGACATCCGAACCCAACAGCGCCGCAATCTCCGAGTGGGCCAACTGCAAGTCAAGCTACCACTGAGAGCGAACGCAGCCAGTTCTTCAGATGGCAGCACAGACATGCCACGAGGAAGCCTTGCAGCCAAAGTTTTCCGAGTGGCCCAGCAGCAGGATTGTACATGGTCAGCAGTGGGGAGAGCGGAAGACACGGCGCCACAAGGGGGGAACAACGCCAAGAACCTCGCCAGACAATACCCCGCGGGGGCGCCGCCACCAAAGGCAGCCACGGAAACAGCTCCGCTCAAACGTCGACGGCCTGAGCGAAGTGAGTGTAGTGTCCAGAGCCTCCGTTATTGAGCAGGGGGAACCGCAACCTGCGTGCACTGTGATGATTGGGGGAACCTGCACCGCTATGTAACCTGCAGCCTGTGTGTTCGGGGACCTTAGCATGTTGTACCTTTAGCTGTTGTTGTGACTGCCGTACTCGGGGATAACAGCTTAACAGATCGAGAAAACCGAGCCACTCCCCAACGGCGAACAACGCCCAAGCTTTGAGCTTAGTCATGGGGCAACAGGCTTCCCCTACCGGATCATGACGAGGCCTGGTGGTTTAAGTTGTAATTAAAGTTCAGGGGGGGTACAACAGTGCAAACCAGAGCCTCGCGAGAACCGGGGAAATTCTCACAACCGAGACCTGAACCGGTGCGCACGTGTGCGCGGAGGCGTTTACGCCTCTTGTCCGAGTGCAAGCAAGAGAGTTACCCCCTACACCATAGCCCTGACGAAAGAAAGAGATAGATCAGTGGCGGGCCCCTAGCGGCCGAGGGACCTAGCCAGTCCCTCACTTGTTGATGATCTACATTCGTTATTCACTCCCCCACTCCCGATAAAACATCGAGGGGCATAATGCCTGGGGGCCTTGACAGGCCCCCATGGGCGAGAGAGAGGGAGAGAGCGAGACAGACGAGCGCGCGGTGTAGGGGGTAAAACCCCCTACACCTTAGTCCTGGCGAAAGGCAGCGGCAGAGAAGAGAGGCCGTATGCACTAGTCGTGAATGAACCAGCATCATGCCCCGTGGAGATAGTCAGTCGCACTTAATACAGTGCATCCCGCCAACATCGGGCAGCCCCTACGGGTATGAGATGATCAGGGCTACAGAGCCACGTCAGCATAACATTTGCGAAATATTACGAAATCTTTGCGTCAGGCTTTTGCGTTATTTATGCTCCCCGGAGTTCGGGTTGCGAAATGGGTTGCGATATCTTTGCGTTATTTTTGCGTTGGGCCCAAACCAAAACTTGGAGTCGCAAAGATTTCGCAACCATATCGCAAACATATTAAATCCTGTAAACTGGCTGTGTAGCCCCCTAATCGTCTCATAACCCTAGCGGGGGGCTCGCCCCTCAAGCCTGGCGAAAGAAAGAGACGCCGGGCAAGCAAGGAACAGAGAGGGAGAAAGACACCCTACCGGAGGAGCCAGCGCCACAGCCTTCACGCAAATCGGGGCGTGACCTTGGGCAGAGCCGACTTGACCCGGCCTGGGTCGACATAACCCCAGTGCTTGGACAAACTATGCCTCGTGGTGGATCCTCCAAAACCCTGCCAAAGCTTGCAGGTGCACGCATGCGTGTGAGGGGGAGGGCTTGCGCACCTCTTCCTCTTACCTGGTGGAGAGAAAGAGAGAGAGAGAGAGAGAGAGAGAAGCCATTTTGGCTCAAGTCATCTGCCGCCTCGTCGTGAGGCACTCGGGGACGGCCCTCCGGGGTGGCAGAGTGTTAGCTCTGCCTCCCTGGAGGGTGGACGCTCCGTCGGGTGGGGGTGGCTTGAGTCACACGCCGTAACATTTGGATCGCAAGGGCCCCTCGCCTACTTTGAGCAAGACCTTCCTTGAACCTGGCCCCTGAGGGCTTGCCCCGAAGGGTGTACGAGCACCCCTCCCTCGGCGCCGACCAAGTGCAGACGCAAAACTACCCGCTGGATGGGAGGGGGACAAGAACGTGCAGATGACTGAGCAAATGGCAGGAACGCCAAGAGTGAGAACCACACCCTACGATGGAGAGAAGGGGACACCATCCCCCGAGTGCACAACCAAGCACCCCTTTACGGCCATCCGAGTGGACAAAGCACGACGGCAGTGACACCAGAGGAGCAGTGAGGCAGTGTAGTTTTCTGTTTCTCGACGCCTTAGTTTTTGCAATGCCGCCGGGATACCCGGCAATCCGTGTACAACACCAGCAGACGCTTCAAACACAAGAAAAGTGCACCATACCGCTGCACCTTACTTCTTGAACTAATTAGAGTGCGGGGGGCACACGCCACAAACCTTTCGCGAACCTCAAAGTGGAGTGCCCGCAGCAAGCACACGGCTTGCGGGGCCGTTAATTACAGCATGTTTTTGCAAGCCCTCGTGCACACGCTTGTCTTTTCGAGCATTCTTCCTTTAACCTTCCTGATTGGTGACAAAGTCGGTGGGCCTCAACGCCACTCGAGAGGCACACGCCTTCAACAGGGAGGCACACGTTCCTGTAAAGACCGAGCCCTTTCATTCAAAAGAATGGATGGGGCAGCGCACCCGCGCGCGACGGGAGGACTGCTCCCGCCCCAAGCCCCAAGCAAAGCAAAGAGAGAGAGAGAGTGAGTGAGTGAGTGAGTGTGTGTGTCTGTGTGTGTGTGTGTGATTGTGATGTTGCATGCCCGCCGATTTGCAAGAACATGTGTCGTGGTGATACGCGATATAGTATACTTCATGGGTTGTGAAGGCCACTAGGCGGTTGTCCCGTCTCACTTCCCCCAAATATCACGATACACATTCTGGTGGGCTTGTGGGCCCAAAACATATCAGCTCCTTGTGCCCGGGAGCGAGAGAAAAGTCTGAGTGCCGAGGTGGACTCGGACAAATAAAAAGACTCCGTCCAGCAGCACAGGGCCCAGCCAGGCAGAGTCAGGCCGGGCCGAAGAGTTTCCGAGCCTCCGGAGCTTCGTTGTTAGTCTTCGAGCTGCAGTTTCACGGCCTCCCCTGCCAGCATGATTCAGGTAGTCATTACGTCTTTGTGGAATCCAGCGGTCAAAACCACCCGGATGTGCAGTTTGTGCTCCAGAGTGCCAATTTCTCGGCCGGACCAAGCGATCGTGGGCTGTACTTCCAATGCAGCTCCTGGGCGCAAGCACGCTCTCACACATCCATCCTCCCTAAAGCATCCTCTTCGACAGTTTGTTGTTAATTGGCAACAGATCTTCGCACGGGACCGCGACCAGTTCATTTACGGCATGTACCATCTGAGGCATGTACGGCTCCAGCATGGGCAGCCTGGCACTCGAGTTTGCCGGCACTGATGGCTGGACACAGCTTTGGGAGAAGTCAGGAGCCGTTAGCCATAATACGGCAAGTTCGCGAAGTTATGTATGTCTATGTATGAAAGTAGTGACAGACAATTAAGAGCAGACGTATCCACAGAGATGGCGGTCTAGAAAGAGAAATGTGAGTTTCCAAAAATTGGGGACCCTAATATGATACCCTAAATTGAATAGTAGGATCCTTATCATATAGACCCCAAAATAAGGTACCTCTAATTTTCGGAAAATTCCAAATCAATGTTCAGGAGACCTCGGCGAGCATTGGTTTCCAGTCTCCGTCACGATCCCCGGCCAGGCTACTGCCTTGCGCTTCGTTGGCCTCACAGGCGATCACGACTTTCCGGCTATATCCGCAAAAATGCGTCGTAGAAACTCAGAAGACAATCAGCCCTGGAGCTGTTTTTGTGTCGAGGCTCTTCCTACCGGAGTGACATGGCCTTGGACTCCATCGTGGCATCGGAAATGGCACCGACGCCGCCACCTCCGATGCCTGTTGACCAGGCTTCTTGGCACGAGCTCCTAGGGACGCCAGTTGGGCAGAGAAACCGTGACGCGCCATGAAACAGAGTAGTCGGAGGAGTCGCTTGAATCTTTCCGGTTTCCTTTGGTGAGACTGTAGGGCCAGTGCGTCGACCCGACGCAATTCCAGAGCAAGTTCACAAGACCAAGTTTCCACGTAGACTCATGCAGAGAAGGTACAAGCCCCGTATATCCAGATAAGCACAGACAGAGCATTGGCCCCGGAGGCACTGGGCTGCGACTTCGAGTCCGACTTTTGCAACTGGCTCACGGGTGCCGGTGATGAGGACTGGACACGAAAGTCAGGCAACACGCCGAGTTCCAACACCGGCCCAAGCTCAGCACATGGTGGAACACAGTATGTCTACACAGAAGCGAGCGGTAGCAACAAGAACAAGCAGTTCATCTTGGAGTCGCCTAGCTTTGCTATCTCTTCGTCAATGTTAAAGATGTCCTTCTACTATCATATGAAGGGAAACAAGATGGGCGACTTGAAGGTGATGTCTTCAGGAACAGCAGGTGCCTGGAATACCCTCTTCACCGTGTCTGGCGCCCAGGGAGATCAGTGGTTGCATGCTGAAGTGGACATTCCGGGTGATGTCAACAAGCTGCGCATCGTTGGGGAGACCGGAAATGGTTGGTCGAGCGACATGGCTGTGGACGACATCACGGTAGTCCCAGCATGAGAAGCAGCAGATGCAGCAGGGCTGTAACATTACTGTACGTTAATTAGGGAGCACGCGAGAGATGCCAACCAATCTGGCTGAACTTACGCTGTGGCACTCCCTCCCGCAGATGGAAAGTCCGGCAGGCATCTGCTAGGGCATGCCCGCAAAAGCAGCACATACGTAGTAGCTACCTCTGCAGGATCATGCCACATTCTCATGAGATCCATCTTGCTTCTCCCTTGCGCCAAGCATCGCAGGCTCTACCCCAGCTATCGAAGAACGCCTCAACTCTAGACTCGAGACCATGAGATCATGCTGCAATATGCTGCATAGAGTTATCATGGAATTCTTCGTCGCAGTAGCAGCGCAAGCAGCTGTAGTAGGAATCGCGGCAGCCACAACAGTAACACAGCAATAGAGTTCAACAGTTCGCTTGTGGTTGCGATTGGCTTTACTCATGCTCCTGATGCCTTAGGTCAAAGCCGAAACGGACAAGGCTGTTTACGGAGGATACAGCAGCGCCACGGGTAAGTTACTGCAAACTTTGCACCATGTCATTGCGAGCCCCCACAATATCACTAGCACCTGAACAGCCCGGAGACTCTAGCTAGGACAGGATGCATGGCAAACTCACGCCATGGGCCCTCGGCAAACTTCCAGTCAATATCCCGGATCCAGCCTCGCGAGGCATTTCTCTGCTACAGGTGCAGGAACTCTCGGAGTTCATCCAAAGGTTATGCAAGACCGGCCTCTTACAGCATCGGGACAACGAGTCCGACTGGTTACACTGGGAGGACATCCTCATGGAAGATATGGCTTCATATATCCTGAAGCCTGCCATACGATACCTCGCAGCGGACATCAGCAAAGATGTTGCAACCAATGACTTGCCACCTGAATATGCCTGGAGCTGGGTAGAGATCGTGGCGTACGGACCACAAGATCCCAAAGTTTTTGTGTCTTTCAGTTTGCACAGCGGGTTTCGTGACTTCATGGGCAGCGTACATCATCTGGCTGATGACCAGGGCATGACAATCCGAGACAACATGTGGATCGGAATGTTTGCTCGGGAGGAGAGTGCGCCAGCCCACGTCTTCGATTTGCTAAACTCCCCTGTCTTCAGTGCATTCGGCAAGTCCGAGGCAACAGCCCTGTTTCTGGACGAGCATGCCAGCATCTTGGAGAGAAGTTGGTGTATTTTCGAGATGGCTATCATCACCGACACGGCAACAAGTCGCAGGCGATGGAAGCTTCGTGAAGAACTCGCAAGAGAGGAGGGGTGTAGCATCTTCAATGTCAATGAGGAGAAGGTGTTGCAAGTTGAGAAGGAGCGTTTTGTGGAATACAGAGCGCCAAGTTCGGACGACATCTTCCAATCCGAAAACTGTCGTTTAGATTGGCAGGTAAGGTCTGAGCTGGCCGGAGGTGGTGATCCATTCTCCGTTCCTTGGGAAGAGGTGCGGGAAAGGATTCGGTTGATGAGACAAGGAGGAGGTATTGAAACCAAGCCCCTGCTGCTCTGTCGACACCTCAGTTCTGATGCAGCTAAGATCAGCTAAGTCAAGCTGTGAAGCTCAAAACCCCAAAGTCTGGACTGCAGCCTTCGTAGCTTAGGCACTCCCGACGGCTTGGTCGGCACCAGGCGTGCAACCTCAGTTCCTGTTCTACACGCCCTTCTACACTCCTTCTGCTGCAGCAAAACGGATGCCGCTAGCAAGGCTGAACGACGGCTAGTCATGAATTACATTGCAAACTGCTACTGTGAAGATGACAGAAGCAGTGCTAATTTGCTGGATGGAATTCGCACTGACGGCGACGTCTACGAACTGGAGAATTTGGAGACTGTGTCTGAAGCACGGCCAGGACCCCCAGAGCCTCAGGTCTGCGCTCTGCGATATATATATATATATATATACATAGCTGTAAATCTTATAGTATATTTGTATATTTGTGTACATATGTATATAACTAATATATAACCTGACTCTCTGCTCCAAGGCGACTGGACGGCTCTCCCGAGTACCAGCATGAGCACAGCTCCAGCCTCACTGGATATAAGCCTTGCAGATGCGTTCCACTCTGGATAGACACACGACCCTAGCCCTAGTGGCTCAGGTCTTGTCGCCAGCAATGAGCACACCGCCGTGAAGTTCAAGATCCTTGACCACAGCATTCGACAGGCAAGGCACAGCACGGAAGGTGTCGGCAAAGAGCCTGAGCCGCGGGGAAAACGCTTGCAGGAATGCAGAAAAGCTCTGGAAGCCAGGGTCCAAGACGGCCGGAAGGTTTCCCTTCAAACCTTAAATACTCACAAGGTAACCAGAGGACTCAACGGCATGTTTGGGATCGTTTGGGCATGTATGGTTGGGCCTGGGCGATGTGACCAGGCGTGTAGAGAAAGTACGACATGTGCAAGCCCGTCCTTGCCCGGGTATCTTTCACCCATGCAGGCAGGTCACAAGTCTTGTCTGCTTGCATCATGTCCAGGTGCATCTTGCCGCGAAACCCTCATGTGCCTCAGCATAAGCCTTCCTCACAAACATAACATAGTCTTCGCCCCGTGTTACTTGTTGCAGGGTTGCTGCAGTCAAGCTTCGAAAATGCCAGAGACTCCACGGTTTCAGAAACGAATGCACCGTCCATTCCCGAGTTCCCAAGCTCCAGGCCCGTGGAGTCAAGGAGAGCTTCGACAACTGGAACAACTTCTTCGACTTGAAAAGAGTCTCTGCCTCAGAGGCCTCTGAGAAGCCAACTCAGGTTGCAGGGCCTGTTAACATTGCAGCAGATGCTATACACACTATTCGTGCTAAATGTACCACGGGTACGTATCTATCCATCTATCTGTACATATGTACATACTCCTGTCTATTTCTATATCTGCACCAATGTCGATTTTATTCTTTCTGTATCTACATATCTATATACCTGTACCTATATCTATAGCTTTATTAAGATACATAAACGCATATATATATATATATATATATATATATAACACTTACAGCTACAGCTATATCTATATCTATATGCATATACATCTACATACCTAAAACCACATCTATATCTATTTCCAAATCCGTATCCATATCTACATATATTACATATATACATACACATCAGACAGTATATGCTCAGCAGACAGCAAAGTGCCATACACCCTCACTTACTCTCGCTCTCTCTCCCTCTCTCTCTCTCTCTCTATCTCTCTCTCTCTCTCTCGCTTTCTCTCTTTCTCTCTGTCTCTGTCCTTTGTCTCTCCTCCCTAGAAGGCATTTGGCGGACACATCGTTGTAAAGCTTACTTGCAAGCGTTCAATTCAACAGAGCACTGGAGGGAGGAGCGAAAGAGAAAGAGCTAGTAAACGGCGGGCGGGCCGCACGGAGGGCTTCACTCGCCCCTTCAGCCTGGGAGAAGACGAGTAGGAGAGAGAGAGAGAGAGAGAGAGAGCGACGGGGCAACTCCCCACCCCAGCCCTGGCGAAAGAGAGACGGAGGGGTTGAAGTTTCGCACCGAGTTTGAGCCTAGAGTGCTGGACTCCCCTACATTGGATGAGTTCTTCAGCATCATCGGAGAGTTCCCCGTGTAGTAGCTGAGCTTGACAAACCTTTTGGGTATGAGGATGTCTTATGCCTCGGATAGGGTGCGCGAGAGGGGTTCCATGAATGAGGGCATGCAGATTTCGATTGACCTTGTGCGCTATTGATGGCTTCTCTGAGGTTTGCAACGTCATGCCACCTGAGCATCGTGCGCTCACTTTGCCTCCCGACTGCAGAGATTTGAATCTGCGGTTGCATTGCTTCTGTTCTGGACCTACCATATATATTCCCAACACTTGGTTCCCACAATTCGGTGTAAAGTCGCAGTGTTTGCTTGAACCAAGCGCAAACGTGGCATTTAGAGGCCCCGAGATTTGGCGACATAGAGCCAGCAAAGATGGCTGATCGAGGTCACAGCTTCGGATTCTTGCCAACATGCTTCGCCGGATCCTTAAGTGGCTTGCTCCGTCTGGTACTTATGAACAGCGGTGCTAAGTGCAGTTTTCCCATATGCTTGGGTTCTATCAGCGATGAATCTGCCGGCAGGTAGGCGGCTGGTGGAGTTTGGAGGCTTGCCCGCGTGGTACAAAGCCAGCTCCAGAGACCTGTGGAACAAGGACAAGGCGAGCGCGATTAGGTTGCAGAGACGTTTGAGTTGGACACCGCAACATCGTCTCATGTTGAGCATAGGACTGAGAGTGGGTTATAGATAACATCCCATTTGACCGCCGGCTTAGCACCCCGGGTCCACGGGAGACTGTCGCGAGGAGCTTCACGTTCTACGTGACATCCTTCCCGTCAACAGCTCCTTCTCGGAGTGCCAGCCTTTGCGAGACTTCGAGGGCGGCTTCGGGGATCCACGCGACAGCCTGTCAACATCTCCCAACATGATTTTGCATTTTCCTTGCAGGTGCTTTCAAACACAGCGCCAGTTGCCCGACACCTACGTCATATGTCCTGAGGACGCGTGCGTGGCCTTCGCTCGGCTAGCTTGACTTCGCAATTTCATGGAAAGCTCCATACTGCGCTGTTCAATTCAATCTGCAGGACGTGAAATTGGTGGCCTTGTTCAGCGCGATAGAGAGACATGCAGAGGTTTCCGAACTGCAGCGCCAGAGCACTGAACGGTTCGATGTTGCTAGCCGGAAGGCACACCTTCTGCCGGAGAAGACGACCTACTACGTGGATGCTTTGTGTAGAAGGAGCTCGAACACCCGTTGAATAGTGTCAATGATGTGCGGTGGATTATTTGTTTGCAGATCCCGACAGCAGTGTGTGCAAGAGGCGTGGCGAGCTGGAGAAGTCAGCTAACGAGTCCGCAGAGAAGACACAGCGCCTCTTGTCAAACACTGGCAGAGGCGTTCTGCCCAGCTCTTAGCACTCAACATCCTGTGTGCCTGCCGATGAAGCGTGGAGCTGGAGAAGTCACATTACCAGGCTCATCCTGGACCAGCCGACAAGCCTTACCTGGCGGCACAATGTTGCCAGTCTGTCCGCTCCCCATCATTGCAATCGGAGCAGGGAATGCCTTTGCAGCTTTCAGGTGGTGCTTGTACGAGCTGTTCTTTGCAGACAGACAGGCACCTTTGCAGCACATTTATGGACATGTGCATCAGCTGAGCATTGATGCTCCTGGCCAGGGTCTTCTGTGGGACGTGGCTTGTGGAGAGGGTATCGTGGCTATGCGAGCTCCGCTATCCACGAAACGATGGGTTTTCGGCCAGTTCGACTCTGCGATTGCCTGGAATTTGTCATCAATCCGGGTGAAAGCAGAAGCTGCCAGATGTACAGTAACAGAGGAGAAGGACATCTTGTTGTCAAAGCTGATGCTTGGCGGAATCATTAGCTTTCTTCGCACAGGTCATTTGTGTGAAAGCTGAGACATGTCAGTCGTATACGGAATACTTTGGGGGGTTCCTTATTTAAAAAAACCCTATTTAGGATTTTGCCACACCGAAAACACCCCTAGCAGCAAGGATGGAATTCGGAAAGAATTGCATCACAGAGTTCGAGCAGAAGATGACTGCCAAGGCCATGATACGGTTGATGATATAAATCCTGCATTACCTTAAGGACCCTAAACTATGGGAATTATGGTATATTCCTTATTATGGGTAATGCAGGATTTATATCATCCACCGTAGTAACGTCCCGATGCAGGCGAGTTTCCGACTCCGGCTCTTCAAGCGAAAATAGGGGACCCCAACATAGGACCCTTTATAGTAGGACTCTTTTACAGGGATCCCAAACTAATGTACCCCCTATTGTCGCAAACTCCAATTATTCTAGCTTTGAATGTGCTACTTCTTTGCTCTTCAAAGGTCTTCACCTCCTCTCAAGTCTTCTTTCAGAATAGATCCTGCCCAGCTAACATCTCTACTGCGCTGCTTGGATTTGCAGTGCTTGCTCGATGCCGCCGACTCCTGGAAATGAGACCAGAGAAGAGAAATGGAAGCAGCCTGTACGGCATCTGGTGCACTGATAAAGATATCCTCGATCGTTCTCCTTTCTCTGCCGTCGCTCAATCTCATGTCAATGTGGCGATCGCGGCTACATAACTTCATTCTCGATTTGAGCATGAGTACAATCCTCTCACTAAACACTACGAGCGTTGGCTTCCCCGCGGTCGGTGCGGGCGCGGACTAGGATCATGCACTCACGGCCCAGAGCATGCAAAGATTCAAAATATATCCCACGACAGCCGCATCAAGCAATCTGGAGCAAAGTGTGCGCGAGATCATGGGTGGAAATGCAGTTGCATTCGGAAGAGCCCATCAGCCGCCCGGGGCTGCCTCACTCGATCGCCCGTTTATTCGCACGCAGTCTTTACAGCGCGAAGGCTCAGCTGAAGTGGGAGTCATCACTGTTCTCGAAGATCTTGGCCCCGAGGATATGCGTTGCACCGTTAAGAACTGCGGATGTTGAGGCCCAAAGCCTGGCCCCATGCTATCACAATCTTCTTCAGTCATTGCGGAGACCTAGTTAGATGAAGCGCCAAACAAGGGCCTGCGGGCCTGCGACTGTAAAAAAAACTTCAACAAAACACAAGCAACGATGCATGAACACAAACACACAAACCCAAGAAGTTGGTTCAGTCCCTTGCACGCAGGTCCCGGCCAGAATGCTTGGGCCCGTGCTGCGAAAGGCCAGGTAAGGTTGGGGTAGTGGCCGCGTTTTTGCCGCATCTTCGTGTCTCAGGCGGCGTGCATGAGGGACAACCAGGACTTCGAGCGCTTGCGTGACGCCTGTGACATCATGGCGAAGCTGCGATGCCGGCTTCCCAGACTCAGACAGGTCCCAGGTCTCCCCTGGGCCCCCTTCCGGCCTTCTTTGTTTCTGGAGGCAGCGGGGCGCACATTAATCTGGCCAGCCTCGAGGGCGGCTTCGGGGAATCGGCCGAGCACACAGCCGCCACTTTTCCACGGCACACGAAGGATATCCGGGTCCTCCATAGAGGCCCCGCGCAGGCAAGTGTGAATGTTTGAGGCATTGCACATTGCGGCAGCAGCTGCTGTGGCGCCGGGCTTAATCAAAGATGCAGGAGTCGGAGACAAGCTAGAGAATTACCAGGGGCTTTGACTTGGAAGAGAACTTGATCTGCATGCTGCTGTGTCTATCCACGTCGATGCCAGTCACAGCCAAGGATGGCAGTGCTAGGTGTGCCAGAGCTGTCGAGATGCTCGTGCGCACTTGACTCAGACCCGACATGGAAGAGCTCCTGATGCAAGTGAGCTTCGTTAAGTCTACCTTGCTTGGCCGAGGTATGGGCATTGACGTTAATGCCCAAGACGATGCCGGCGAGACGCCCCTGCACTGGGCTGCCATGACAGGCCTGGCCAGTTGCGCACCGTGCAGAGAGGGCCTGAAGGAGTGCTTGTACCGTGTCGCAAGGCCGAGCATGGGCCACTGGATTTCTCCTTCGGAACGGCTCGGATCCGCTGCTCGCGAGTTGGTCCGGTCCAACTGCCATGCTTAAGAGACCTTAAGCCTTAAGAGGTGCTCGAACTCAGACTCAGAGTGCCTCGCCTGCCTTGCGAAGTGCTCGTGACAGGTTTCCGGCCCTTTGACGTCTGTTGTACAGGGCCGGCCACTCAGGGAACGTGCTGACCCTTGCGGGAACATGCAGGAATGCACCCGACGACAGCTGGCATACACAGCCACATGTGGGTGTAAATTGTGGTTGGGCAAGATGCCGCATGTTCTGTGAAACTTTCTGTGCTTGGACGGCCGGCCGGAGGCCAGCCGCATTCCTGGGAGTGGATTCGAAGCTGCCTGGCTGAATTCTTGACATCGTCGAGGCACCAGGTCTGCAAGCTCTTTGCCGGCTTATCTCAACATTTATATTGCGGTAACTGCTCCGGCCAGTTGAATTTAAGTGGGCACGCAGAGCCAGTCGGTTGCGGCACCAGAGGTACTCCTCGGGCTCGAGAGGGGGGAGAGGGAGATAGGCCTGAAAGCGACAGCACACCCGCTCGGACACCAAGGAAGGTCTATGAGATTCTCAAAGGCTGGACACAGGCCAGTCGAGACACCTGTCGAATCATCTTTTGCTCCGAAAGCTTTAATGCGAATTTTGCATCTTGCTGAGTGGCTCTCTTCTGATCGCAGGCAACAGTCACTGCTGGTCACGCGGCCTTTGCCTTCGATGACGAGGCCTCACAAGGGGTTGTAAGCATGTCTTTACCGACTTCCGAAATCGGGAGCGAGTCTGGCTTGGGCAATCTACGATACCGCAGAATCCATGCAGTCTTGGCTGCCAGGATATGGATCGCCCTTGACCGAGGCAGAAGATCTGCGTGCTCTGGATACGTAGAGTGTGCAACATCTCCTCCAGAGGGTTCTTCTGTTTCCCATGCACCCCTGATCAGCTGACGAAGATGCAGTTTCAGCTCCAAGAATGATACGTTCCGTTCTGAATCCATTTGTGGTGCAGTGGCAGACGGTGAACGACTTGGGAGAGGAAGCATGCGTTCTTGTCTCGAGTCGGAGTAACATCACGCCGAGGTATGAACCTGAAAGAAGTCGACACAGAGCGAAGGATTCAAACTTCGGTGAGTTTCGTTCTTGAAGCTCGAGTGTCCTTTAGGGCCTCAGGTGGAATTTCTCAAGGCCTAGACCGTTGCCCTTCAAACTGAAACGCTCGGCGAAAGCTATGTAGTAGCCCGTACGCTAGGATGCCGAAGGCTTTCATTGCAATACTGACGGCCATGACACATCTTCGGGAGGCATGCAGCTGCAGGCTTGAAGAGCTCCTCGCGCTGCGACTTCTGAGTTGTTCCGTAGTCACTTCAACATTCGCTTGTGAGCACAGCACCACAGTTAAGTTTGCAACTCCAAGTGTAACCTGCCATGAAAGGATGTTTGCAGCAACACAGGCTCGCCACCCTCGCCCTGTGGGATTTCGGGTTGCAGGTTGAACAGAGTATAGTCGACTGCTTTACGGCTTTGACACATGTGGTGTTAGAACTGCGGCCTGCATGAGTACCCAGTACCTACGAAATGTCATCCACAGAAGCTTGAATACATCGCAGACCATGTTGCGACAAGGGCGCAGCAGTCGTTGTAGAGCCGCAGCCCACGGAGACAATGATTTCTGTGGCAGCCACAGCCTCAGATCCACCTTCGGGAGCCCGACCACGCCGGTGAAGAAGCCTGATCCATTGACACGCACTATAGGGGCCTTACTATTTTGGGGGATCCTGGTTATAACTATAGTATAATGTGCCCCAAGACCCAATTCTAATTTAATTATGAAGGCCCCTTTTGTTAAAGTCCTGAAGATGGAGTCGTTCACATGGCTGCCAGCATTGCACCTGTCTCCTGATCGCAGGGTGTACCTACCCTCAGCATACCTCAACAGTCCCAACGTACGCTCTTGGTGTCAACCCGAGTCTGGGCGAAGGTCCGCATCTCAATGTTTTCAGAACCGCGGCAAGTCCTGAAAGAGGATCTTGCTTCGTCGCAGCAGCAAAAACCTCTGCACAGCAAGAGGAGTCGTTTCCTTTCAAGAGACTCTGTTTTCCTTTGCAAGCGCTTCCCTGGCTGCAAAGCTTGCTTAAGCATCAGATGTAGAGAGAAGCCCAGCTGGCAAGTGTTGAATATCCGACAGACGAAATCAAAACAGCGGTCGGCAGCGTGCACCCAACAGTGCTGATGGTGTATGATTTCGTAAGAGGTTGCTGCCGATACTCCCACTTGATCTTGCCAGATGGAAGTGTAACTCTAGGTTGCAGCTGAAAAGCATATTGAGGTGAAACGAAGGCAAGGCCACCAGCAGCCATGGGTTTCAAATATGTCTTCGTTCCAGCATCGGCCAGTGATGACATGCAGGAGAGGATTGCTGATTTCAGGCTTGCAGTTCCTGGAAGCCTTGGTTCGACTGTGAAGGAGCTCGACTTCGAAAAAGATGTTGCGACCTTGGAGGAGGCTTGGAAGGGAATGGTGATTCAGATGGCCTCACCCCCCTTCCTGGTGCCTGTGCATCCTGAACTCTGACAGGACACCTTCCGCACCTTTGTCGAGAACTTCTTTGCTCGAGTGGACTACTCAGGAATGCGGCAGTATGACTTACGCTACCGCTGCGTAGCCGGTTCGGGTTGTGGAAAGCATGGAGATGGCCCTACAGTGTCGCCCTTGCGGCGCTGAGGCTGGGGCTACCGCTGACCGTGGGGTGCTGTTGTGCGCTAGCTGAGCTATGCAGCTCTTGGATGAGCGCTCCGATTTGCTGTTGTGCCAGACAGGCAGCAGCTGAAAGATCGCACGGGCGTAGACATCCAGGTGGCCGTCGCCAAGTTGTCGCGCTTGCGAATACCCAAGCCTTGTGACCGCAAGTGCGGCATTCTGCGGCATTACAATCAAAAGATTGGGATCTTGGAGCTTGGGTTTCCATGTCCATCGGCTTCATTGCAATCCATTTCCAAGCCCTCAAAGAGGAGTAGGAGGAGCAGGGCGAGTACGAGGAGCAGGAGGAGTAGGTGGAGACAGGGACCGTTGGTGGTCAATGATTGCCTGGGGATCGGCACTCTCACTATACATCAAAACTTACAGTGATTCAGAGCTTGAGAGCATGAGCAGCTGTTGCGGTGAAGGCATAATTGTAGTATAATATATACCCCAAAACCCTACTAGGCCCATTTAGGGTACTAAAATAGGGTCGCCTATTATAGTGCCCTAGTAGGGGACCGAAGGCAAGCCCGCTTCCTGCCCAGTGAGTCGTGAGTTTGTTAGCGAAGGTGGGCCATGCCTTTCTGCGGCCCCGCGGATGTCCTCCCGGAAGCTCGAATATCAAACCAAGAAGCTATCAAACTTCAGACTTCAAAATATCTATTTCACCAGCGACTCACCAATCATTAGGAGTTGCACACCTGGCAGGAGAAGACAGACAAGGGCGAGATGCCAAACGAGGCTTGTGGCTCAGCAGTTGAGATCATGCAGAAGATGTACTGTACAGCGAAAGCGTTGGTTAAGAATTTGCTGGGATCTGTTCAGGGGGTGCTCAGATTCTTAAGTCTGCTTGTCTGTGACATTCACGTCTTTCAGCCGCCTCGCAGCCTCGAGGGGGGCTCAGATTCTTAGTACATTCTTAGCTGAGGGCTTGAACCAGGTACCACAGCCACTGAAGAGCTCGATATACCACTGCTCCAAACAACAGTCTTCAGAACATAGGTGTCTCTGCAATGTCCGATGGTGAAGCGATGGAGCTTGTGTCCGTGGCGTCCGACGAAGGTGTCGAGACCGGTCCTTCGAAGAAGGAACAGGTCTCGCTGCACCGATACGGTCGTTGCACCTTCACTACGACTCAAGGAAAAGTTGTGCAAACGACGGGCCCACAGAGCAGCAGCAGCTCTTCGGAGAAGCCTTGGCAATGCCAGTTCTGCGCTCACTCAGATTCTTAATTCGGAGGTTTCCATGTGTACAGGTGCAGGGGCTAAGAATCTGAGGGCTCAGATTCTTAATTTGGAGGTTTCCACGCCGGGACCTGCTTGTGTACAGGTGTAGGGGCTAAGAATCTGAGGGCTCAGATTCTTAATTTGGAGGTTTCCAACACCAGGACCTGCTTGTGCACAACCCCAGGAGTTAAGAATCTGGGTCCAGATTTCAGGGGGGGCTCAAATTCTTAAGTCAAATGCACACCGCCCATGGGTGAATTATCACTATGTGCGTCGAAATTCAGCCCCTCAAATTCTGAAGCAATGAATTCTTAAGCAATACTGTGGTAGCCATGTTTTCTTGTCGTGCACAGATGCTGGACAAGCTCCTCTCTGCCAGCAGCGTCGAGATCTTCCCAGTTCAGCTTCCAACGAAGGAGACGTTCTGGGCAGGCGTCACATAATGGTGACTCTTTCGTTGTGGAGATGGGAGCGTAGCGACTAGCCTTGAGAATGAAGGAGACCGGGTTCCACGCAGTTAGTGTGTGCCCCACACTTCCGTGCTTTCCTGGAGACGGTTCAGTTCGGCATGCTGCGCAGTAGAGCATTTCGACGTCAAGATCCATGATGTAGCAAGCCAGGTACCTCGATGACAAGGGTGTGGCCAAGAGCCTCGAGGCCACATCACTGCCCGGAGAAAGCTGCATCAGGCCCACACCCTACAAACATGCGCAGGAGAACGTGCGTGTCTCCGGCCTTGTGCAAGCCGCAGCCTTACAAGGTCAGACTTGTGTGTGGGTCGGAAGGAGTTCTTGGCAAAGTCGCGAGGCGTGTGGATACCCCGGGCAGACGTTCAGAGGGGACTGCTTTGTCGGAAGGGTGTTCGACGACACCCAGGCGCAATCTGAGAATGTTTGGGCCCTTGACAAGAATAAACTTGAGGATGAGTGGAGGAGGATGGACTTCACCCTCAAGGCCGGCAGGTACTTACATCACGGACGGAAATAGAGGGGATGCAGACAGGATTGCAGCACCGATGCTGATTGGATCCAGCAGACGAAGCTGCAGCGTGCCAACAGGTGCGTCGACCAAAATTTTGTTGGGGAGGGTTCCTTGCCGGGGGGTGTGGAAAGCCATGCTAGCTGCTCGGTGCAGGAAGTCAGGTGACCTGCAGAACCTGGCAAACAGCATTGGTGCCAATAATCCTGTTCCGCGCCTGCATGTCCGGACCAGTATCCTGCTGAATCCCTTGTGGCCGATTCAATCCACCTAAGGCTCAGATTAATCCCTCCATGATGGCAGAGTCTCCGAAGGGTGAGACTGCAGACTACTCTTGGAAGCAGGCCCGGACATGTTCCAGCAGGTGTCCTCCATGTGTGGGTCATGGGGGCCGTCACAAGCGGTCGAACCATGGTGCCTAGAATCATCGCACCTCGCATTGGTTTTCATGGTCAAAACAAACTGTGACATGCAAGAGCAAGTCGGAACTCGGAGTCGGAAGTTCAAGCAAGTCCACGTGAGTATGCCTTGTCCTGTGGCCAGTCAGAAGATGAAGTCGAGGTGCAGAACTTGGCTTGTAACGGCTTGCATGGCAGGAAGACGGTTGCCTGGCCTAGCCGTTTGCTGCCCAGGTCACCTTCAAGCAGGAAGGCTTGCAAAAAGGTGACAAGAAGTACGTAAAGGCCGGAAACCAGAGTCAGGGGAACGGGCAGCCAGATACGGCAGCAAGATGACCTTGCAGCCACCACCCACCTAAGACCTAAGGCAGCCTAAGAGGCTTTTGGAGACCTGAAGCTGCTAGAATCTGACAGCTTGGTTCTTGCCATCTCTGCGTCTGAGCATGGTGAGGTGGCCTTTGGACGCAAACGGCTGAAGGTGTCAGTCAAGGACCAGGCATCTGCCGGTGCACGTCTTCTCTACGAACATTCGCATGTGCTGAGGCTGAGGGCTTCCGAAGCATTCCGTTCATGCCTTTTGACGCCTTTCGCGCGATGAGTTCGTCAATCGGGCATACATATACCGCATTATACCCCGTACGTACATAAAGCATCATACACATGCATAAGTTATGTCGCGAGCTCTGTTTGCTCTTCGCGCCGAGTCTTGTAGGTCATTATCGACTCGCCCTTGGCCGGCAACACGACCGCAGATGAGTGTACCTGGACCCTGAGCGATGGAATACTCCAAGCTTGGACCTCAGTGGCTCGGAGTTCTTGCAGGCATCATCATTGGCAAGACGAGAAGCAACTGGTGCAAGACCAGTGACAGATGCAATTGTCAGGTGACGTTGGTCAAGGAAGATGGAGACACATGGCCACGCTGTCAGTCGCTGGCGTATGCAAATCTTTGCAGCATTGCGAAAACAAGGTCGGAGCTCCTGGCAGAAAGCTGACAGCTCCCGCGAAGTTGACCAGTTTTGCACAGAATGCTTTGTACAGCTGGGCATGTTTCGTAGAGAAACTTTAAACAACATCGAGGCGCTTAAGGCGTACCAGTCGGGTGAAGAAAGGGCAGTCGGTCAGCCAGTTCCTCATCGAATGTTCCGTGTTCGACAAAGAATAGATTAAGCCCCATGCACACACACATTGATTTCAGCTGATATCTTCAAGATGAAGTTCATGTGCACGCAGTTGCCACTCGACTCCTCCATCTTAGCTCCGCGTAAGCGCAAGTTGTCTTCTTCGACGGTGATGCGGTACCAGGCCGTAACCACTGGCAAAGATAGGCCCGCACACCAAGCATTTCGGCTTACAGGAGACGAAGGTAGGGGCCTTCGCACGACGCTTCTCGAAGAGGAGGCATCGATAGTTCTGGCCATGCCCGTACTCTCATAAACGCAAGCTTCGCACGCTGAGCCCTTCTGTGCTCGGTGCTGTAGGGTTCTGCAAGAAGCGGGAGGGAATAAGAGGAAGGAGATTTGTTCGGGCTTGCGTCTGTTGTTCAGTGCTGAAACGCAGAGGGTGGCACATCAGTTTCACATCAGTAGTCGAATCGCAAAGACTTCGTGGGAGCAGACTGCGAACCAATCTGAAATTCTCGGACAAACCTCTGCTGACTCTGTCGAGCTCATGAGACCGAATCGAAGAAGAGACAGGTTGTACGACTGGTGAAAAGAAGAGGGAGTAACTCATACAGAGGATGCTTTCGCACATGTCTGTAACAAGCATGACGCAGCTTGGATAAAGCCCGGCGCAAGAAGAGACAACCAGCCTAGATCAAATCTAGGTGCAGAGATTGAAGGAGAGAGAGAGAGAGAGGTCAAAAACAATATCAAGGGTTTCGACAGTGAAGGGCCATGAGATCTTTGGTTTAAAGATATGACCAGGTGGCTGCTTCACATGCAAGCCGACGTCGACGAAAATGAACGGCGTCCAAACCACCCGACTCCCAGTCGCATACTTGCTGGTAGCTGCGAGTATACTTCGAAGTTCCGGTAAGGACAGTATCATCTTGTGTCCCGGTAAAAGTCCCTCCCAGAAACAGTATTCTGTGCTTGCCTGACTGAGGAGAAGCAAAGCAAGTCAGGAGGAGGTCTTGGAACCTCCGGCATTCGGGATCGCGACGCAGGCCGTGTATGCAGGAGTGATCGGAAGCTTTCTCTATGGCGACTTGGCAAAAAGAAATCGGTTCGGAGTTCAGGGTCAAGAATCTCAGGTTTAGGGCAGTTTTGGGTATAGTATTTGGAACATGGCCTACGCTCCGAGCAGCTTTGGTGCGCTGAGGCTACATGCTGTGCTACCTGAATTCCTGCAGCACAGATGCAGCAGTCCGTGCAGAGTTGCTAAGTCTAGGTTCCCATGCATGAACCAGCAGTAACTAGCATTTTACCTCCAGGCATGGATTTCATCACCTTAACCTTCGAGTGGTGCAAAAGCTCTCTTGTCTCGGACTGCCTCGAGAGCCGCATCAATTCAGGCAAGGCCTTTGCACGTGCATTAGTCGGCTAAGCGGATCCGGCACCTCTTGCCAAAAAATAACGAGTTTCTTGTCGGCTTCCATCACCAGGCCTCGTTAATGCGCTCCTTTACCTCGGAGCTGCTGCGGGTGCTTTGCTCCTCGGGCGACCCTTCATGTCGTACCAGAGCTACTCGGCCAGCTTGCTTCCTGCGGCACTGTCGCCCACGCTAGTGATTGCAGCGACTGCCAGCTTTACGCTATACTAGTAGCAGGACCAGTAGTGAGTTGGGACACCTGTCAGGGAGGTTGCTTTGTATTTGGATGGTCGTGAAAGGGACCTCGTGGTTGTCGTCGTCGTTGTTCCTGCTGCTTCTGCTTCCGCTGCAGATGCCCTTGCTGCTGTGGTGTTGGTGTGGGTGTTGTTGCTGCTGCTGTTGCTGCTGCTGCTGCCGTTGCTGTGGCTGTTGCTGCTGATGCTGTTGTTGCTGTTGTGGTGGTGGTGGTGGTGGTGGTGGTGGTGGTGGTGGCCGTCGTTAGTCGTTGGTACTGGTGTTGCTAGTGGTAGTGCCACCACCACCAGGGGGCAGCGCCGCTAGTGCTGGTGGTGATGAAATGTGATGAAGATGATGATGGTGGTGACGATGCTGCTGACGATGCGACGGCGGAGAGAGACGACGATGCCGAATAATTCGTCAATGATGATGCTGGCTGCTGACAGCCTGCTGGGCATCATCATTCTCACCATCACCATGAGAATCATCGCCATCGTCATGTAGGTGGTAGTAACCAAAACAAGGCAGAAACAGTTGATACTCTTCTTGTTCTTGCTGGACTCTGATTATTGAGCTGGTTCCTCGTTGTGATTGAGAGTTGTCACAGTACCATGATTCATAAAGACCCTTAGTTGGGGTAGAGCGAGGGAGGGTGGGGGGCCTTAATGCCCACATGTTGACCTAATAAGGCCCATTTAAGGAAGTATGGTCCCGTACGCCCCTCCCCCTAAGGGTAGGGGGCCTTAATGCCCATAATATTCACCCAGTTGTGAGGCCTATCTATGGAAGTATAGCCCTTACCCCCTAAGAAGGGTCCCTTTGATTTGAGAGTTGTTAAAGCACCATTTATTTGAATCCCCAGCCCCGGTCTTCCTGAGTCGGTGTTCAGGTTCTCGGCAGCAGCTGATGATCTCGGTGTCCGGGAACGCACCATTTGTAGTGTTTTGAACTTGGGGTGCGTGAATGAACATCGGAGCCTACAAACAGAATCCCACAAGGAAAAATTGCATCTACGAAGCCGCTAGAATAGCCCTAAACCCTAAACCCTAATGCTAGGGAATACTTACAGCAGATCTGCAAGGATCTCTTCTTCATCGCTGGCGGCTTCTTCGGGGCATTCGCCACCGGAATCAAGTGTCTGCTGATGTCCCGTATGCTCTCCGGCATCGCCCTGGGAATTTCAGAAGCTCGGCAGGGATCCAGCGTGTGTGGGTGTGTTGATTGGTTGGTCTGTTGGGCTTGGTTGCTCAATGCGTGTGTGTGTGTGTGTGTGTGTGTGTGTGTGTGTGTCCAACTCTGTTTCCAAGAGACGTGAGTGAGTTAAGCAGCAGGGGGCAGAGGGTCTCATTTCACGGCCTCTGCCAATGAAGCTCCGTGATATTGAGACAGGTAAACGTACCTGCAGTGGTCGGCATGGGCACATTTGTGCAGCTTGTGACCACACAACTGTCGATTGTGGGTAGGAGTGCAGTGCAGTTTCATGTGCAGTATCATGTGCAGTTACATGAGTGATTCGCGTTTGTCCTATGGTAGCACTTCAGATTGCATGTTCTGACTTCTCCTGACAGCTTCTGACTTTCCCTGACAGCTTCTGACAATATGCACTGACAGATCAGACCTGCGACACGATGTGTCAAGTGTGCTTCACAACGGCATTCCCTATGGGCGCCGTGTCTCCCAGAGGTAGCTCTGGCGCTGACTTTCCCGATTGATTGCATAAGCATTGGATGACTTTCCTTGACTTCATATCCATGCTTGCATGCTGACTTTCTCAGTGAGTCTTTCCCAAATGCCTTTTCCGAAACTGAATGCTGACTTTCTCATTGACTTTCTATGATCTGGTTGACTTTCCCGAACCTGACTTTACCGCTGACTTGTCGCAGGTCTTTGGCTGCAAGTTGAGTACATGAGCTGTACTTTTGGTAGTTGCTGATCAATTTGCCATGGATGCTTCAGACAAAGGACGCAGTACCGGGACATCTCTTCCCCCCCTTCCTCCCCCGCCTCTCCCTCCACCCTCCTCCTCTCCCCTCCCTCCTTTGCCCCCGCCTCCCCTCCCCACCCCTCTCGTGGCACCACAGCGAAGTGGATTCCACCCCCCCCTCCCCTTCCCCCTCCCGCTTTCCCTCCCCCACCCCCCACTCCTACAGTTTGCCCGACGCCATCTCCGTCATCTTTGCCGATCTCTTCTGCATGCAATGTTGGCTTGGGAACAGCAGATGTAGCTCCTATCTCGACAGCCGTACGTGCTGTAAGTGATCGACCCGTTCCACAGCAAGAGGTTCCACCAGCCATCACTCTTCATGCAGATGGCACAGGTTTCCGTTTGTCGTTTCGTTCGGTGGCCGATTTTGCTGAATATTCAGCAATTATGTCGGCAAACTTGACTCATGTCCGAGGTCACAGAGATGTGTATGCCGGCCTCAACAATTTGCTCGACATACAGCAGACTGTTGTTTCACAACAAAGTCATGCAGCAGCTTCTGGTCAGAGCCAGCAGTCAGCCCTCACATTTCAGTCGGATGATTCTTCCCAGCCCTCAAAACGACTTCGGCAAGTCCATGGAAGCGGAGTGTCTCTTGTTGCAGATCCTAACAGCATTCGACTTCGTGCGATTTGCGATAACATTCCTGGTACTCATGCTGATCGTGTAGGGTGGCAGCTCAGTGCGGACCAGACTTACGTCTATCGGGTTAAACCCTTGCAAGAATCGTATGAGCATCTTGAGAATCGATCTCTTCTCAAAGGGCATGTGGAAGTTGAGTGGGAACAAGATTCAAACTTCTTCGTGATTCCTGAACTTCGTGGGTTGGAAGTGCGTGATGAAGAAGCGAAGCTGATACAAGTGTATTCAGCCAACTTCAATTGGGTCGCATTATACCCCATGTTTACTGCCCTACGTCACTTGATCAGTTCCAGCCCTGGCCGTATGAAATCGGCATGTGAGATTTCGAGAAAGATACAGGCCAATCTTGAGTTGCAAGTTCCCAGCTCCTTGATGCAAAGCACTGCGGACTATCTGATGAGCCTGTTAGGACTTCCTTCTCAGTTTGTCAACTCGACAGCATTGAAGTATGTCTCTCAAGCAATTGCTGCAGCCGATCAAGCTGCAAACATTCGATCTGTTGAGCTTCGTTCTTTGTCGAGTTCGTGCAAGTGTTTGAGCATCCACTTCAACCACTTTGAGAGGACCATGATCAAGTCGCAGACTTCGACAGCAGGG